GCATAGCCTCTTGCTCCGTCGTTCCTACTTATCTGTCATAAAGTCAGAAGTGAACCAGCGTAATTGCGCACGGCTATAAACTATAAGTGCTCTGCCACTAGTACGGACAGCCGAAAAGAAAATGTCCGCTCATGTCGCCGTCCGCACGCAACTCCGTTGCTACAGCGACGTTCCTCCATTTACCCCAGAGTGTTAACTCTGGTACCCATTACCTAGAGGCTGAATGAACCCCGGGAACCGCCTGGTTTCGAACACCGGCCTGGGTTGCAGCGAGTCGCAGCTGGATTTGAAAGCGAGTTTCTTATCGACTGCACTATCGCGGCCAGGATATTACAATTAAGTCATAACTGCTTGAAGCGGTACGGGTCACCGAAGCCTGAGCCTTCAAACATGGCCAGTGCCATTGTTTCCAGCTACGGCCTTCTCTATTTATTAGAGTAGGTGTTGTTCCAGCTATTTATCTTTTAAAATTTTTTATTTTGGTCGATACTGCTGCCATTATGAAGTAAATTAGCCGTGGCAGACGTGAATCTTTCCAGGCCATGCATAATTTAATGTTACGTTGGGTACCTTGGCACTACGTCTTCAGCATGCTCGTAAACTTCTTTCATTGGAACGTTTGCTTGTCGTTTTTCATCATCATCTTCCACCTTTGCGATGGGTGGCACTGGCTGTTGTCATTACTTATGTATGTATGGATGTAGCCTTTAATGTTGGCATTTTATGTTTTTATGTGATCTCATTCTCTCTTATACTATTTTATTAGGACTAGACTTTGTGCTGATAACCGATATTGCTGGAGTCTGACAAGATGCTCAAACTGTTTGATCTTCTTTTTCTGCCAAAACCATTTATATCTTATGTTTGGGTTATTGGATGAACGCGGAAAAAAGGTGAATTACTGAGTCCAAAAATAGTTGCCTGGTTTTGAGTTTATTGACGTTTAAGGATGGAAACTAGCGCCTACTCCCACATACATACATACATACATACATACATATACATACATACATACATACATACATACATACATACATACATACATGTGTTGTCATGAAAAAAAAGTTTTTAAAAAAAACTGTTATGCCATTCGCATTTATGCCATCGGGCATATGATACCAGACTCAAATTTGGGCAACCCAAATTTGTATAGACAATCAGTACCCGATAGGTGATATGGTCAACACCACGCCAGCCGCTTTCACTTTCAAGATCTTGATATGTTACTCATTTTAGACTAGGTCTTCGATCTGGGAGCCACGGTCATTCTTTTTAAAAATCGGGCTCGGTGGGAATTCGAATCTAAGACATTCGGACAGGCAGTAGATCGTCCAGCAGCTGCGCCACCTCGGATCCCAGTGTCGTCATGGACGACTTTGCTGTCTGTTTACCTTAGCAACGTGTCACGTATCTCCTGAAACCAATTCTCATAAATAAACAACCCGCTACCTGCACACGATTGAGTGGAGCCTGGAGTACAATGTCGAGCGTATTCCAAACTCTCCGACTCAATCTTTAATGGGATCCTCATCTAGGTTCTTCTGGGACCATATTTTATTAGGAGGAAAAAAAACGGGAGGGGGGGGGGTAGTGGACTCCAAGCATATCGTAAAAGGTGACAAATTCGGAGTTTGTGAAATCGGATGTGTTGAGCCGAAAGGTGCAGATGTTAAAGCCTATATGTAAATAAACCACACAGTAATGTAACCGCTATTTTAGGGGCGAACGCAGAAGTAGTAGTAGTTTATGTGCATTGATTTGCACTGGCAGAGAGATCTACCCGGGCTGTTGTTGATAGTTTTACAATCGCTTGGCTGGGTCACCGTCGGCTCTGTGACTAAGTCGATGCGAACGCTTCGTAATGACGGGGTGCCAGGTTCGATCCCAGCTGCGGGCCATGCGCCTTGCGTTGGTTTCGATAGTGGTATCAGGGGGCCGACCGGCCAGGAAGCAACGGCAAACTACTGGACGTAAATTTGCCTAGAGAAACCACACAACAGCCATGGGCTGTTGTGGTTGGTACTGCAACGACCTGTAAAGGATACGCAACTAACTTAGCTGGGCCACCGCCTTCTCCAGCAGCTCAGGGAGGTCGTGGCTGGGTAGACGATTTCAACGCGCGCGCTGTAGGCGGTGTTTATTATGAAAGATTTTCCTTTTTCTTTTGTACTCTACGTGGAATCTATTCTCCATTGCTTGGGTGCTAATCATTACTTTTTTGTTGTTGTTGAAATTCCTTCCTGGGAGGAGTGACACAAATCAATATAACATTAATGATTAAACATACATCTACAAAGTTAGGGTTTTCGTCCACTTCCTGGATTTTGATCTTGTTCCAAAGGCTTTACGTGCCCAGCCATTTTATAGATCTGGCTTATTTTTGCAGACTGTTGGTTCCTCGATTCTCAGGCAGGTGCACACTGACTTCAAAAAGATCATCTCGACTTTTACGACATGCTTGTTGTGGGGGAGAGGGGATCGCAGTGGGTATATTATCCCTCCTCCGTTTAAATTAAGGCACTGGAAATCACACGAGGAAAATCTGCATACAGTATCTGTCACTTTATTTCACCATATTCACAGATCCCGCAGCTGTTCGACCTACATTTTAATATAATATAAACAGAATACTTATAGCATGTATGAATCTGGTAAACAAATCTTGTTATCATCGCCGGTACCACTGAATTCGTGCGCCGTTATGACATTCTTCTGCTATCTGTAAAGGAGGAAGGGGGTGATTAAAGCATTTGTAGAGGTATCCATGCACAGTGAAAACATATCTTTCACAAAACAAACCACAGATCGATAGGTTTGTCCCATCATAGCTGCTGCCAGAAGGTTTACCACCCTGAGATTAAAAAACAAATCTGTCTGGATGGCAGACCAAGTGGGCAGATGCCATATACCCCTTTCAGCCTCTTTAGAAGTTCTAATTAGGGCACCAGCCCGGTTTTACCTACAGGCCTCAGGGCTAAATTCTCTGGCACTGATATCACGTGATCGCATTGATCACTCAGTGAATCGCTAGCATGTGTGGCACTCACTGATCGTCTGCTAGCCTGGTACTAATGGCAGGCCGGCGGGCGGGCCCTCCAACAGAGGGAACACGGTGATACGTGTAACTCTGCTGGCTAATTCTTTATCGCCACTGTGTTGATAAACACGGACAGGTGGTACCGTCGTTGCTCGCTCTGTCGCGTCGAAACTTGCTCTCAGAAAATCCGATGTTAGCAAGTTACTAGCTTTCAATGAGAAAAATATATCTTTTCATAAATGTTTGCTTTGTTACCATTCTTATATTATTATATAGTTTATTTTATTTAAGAATTTAACCGCATGCGTTCACATAGGAGCGGCACTTTTTTTTTTTTAATAAAAAAAAATATAGTTTGTTTTCACTTTTGTGAGAGTAATATTGACGGTGTTCGCTATATATCACTCTGACTATGTTTGATGCTGTATTGTGTTAGGAAAGGACCAGTGTTTTACTAAATAGCCCCCCCCCCCCCCCCCTCTCCTTTAAGGCCAGGGCAGAGTAATACGTACTTATTATAAAGATGTCACAGTACGCTACAAGTTGAGACAAGCACACATTTACGCATGTCGACTATTTGTGACGTCTCTCATTTATTTGTGTTGGGTGGCACTGAGCTGTGAAGTGGCGTCACTATAATCCGGACCACACAAGGGTTATTAGGGGTTGGAGCAACCATTGGACAGTAGTGATTATTTATAGGCAGTGACATATATTTATAGATAGTAAGGTTTCACCAAGTGATTCTCCCAGATCACCAGTAGAAAATACAGAGACCCCTGGTGTTTGTAGGCTAGTCATAGTAACTGTTGTCTCCTATGTCACTCTGTTGGAATTCGATATGTTTATTTCTTTGTGCTCCTAATAAAAGGCAGTCGTTTATGTTAGCAGCCAGACATTTGTGAAGCATTAGTGTTATGTCAGTGTTAGTATAAATATTAACATATATATATATATGTGTGTGTGTATATGTTAGTATATATACTGAAGTATATATAAGTGTTAGTATATATATTGAATTATATGTATATATATGTTAGTATTATCATCAGTCAGCAGGTTCTTTACAGAACATTGCTGTCTTCATGGTACACCTGAAAGCCTCTTTCTCTAGCCAATTCTCCAACCATATGTGCTTTCATAACCATTGCATCTTCAGTGTCTTGTATCCACCTTCACAGAGGTGTTAGTATATTGAAGCATATATATGTGTGTGTATATATATTTATATACACACATATATAAGTATTAGTATATGTTGAAGTGTGTATAGTAAGCATCTGTAACTTAAGCATTGCGAATGCACTTCGTAATGATAGGATGTCAGATGAGGATGATCTGCCTTGCTTTGGTTTTGACAGTGGTACTGAGAGCTGACCGTTCAGTGAGCAGTAGCAAACCACTGAACATAAAGATTTGCCTAGTAAAACCACAACAGCCAAAAATGCTGGGGTGGTTCTGCAACATCCTGTAAAGGATACACAACTAACTGTATAGTAAAAGGACACTTTTCCTTGCCTTCAGGTGTATTGGGCATATAGGGCTAGATAAGTGTTAATATGTATATTTACATACATTGGTATATATATATATGTTAGTGTATGTGTGTATGTTTATAGTGAGGCAGATAGCAGTTGGAAAATGTGTATTTTTATAAAATATAAATTTTGGGAAATATAGCTACTGAGATTGTGATAATTTTTAAAGCATGTTATATTCCGAATGGAATTTTATTACAGGTGATAAGTAGATTACAGTTTTAGAAAATGGATTTCTTTTGGAGAAGTTAATTAAGTTGAGCTTTTAAATAAACAGACAAGAGTAGTAATTTGAGCAATGTTAAACCAAGAACAGTAAACACCGGACATAAAGTTTTGTCCCCTGAGTTATCCACCAGGAACCATGTCTGAGCTGATAGATTAGCTAATGAAAGTTTAATGAAGAAGTGCTAAATAATTCAGCCATGGCAGGTAGAGATACATCCTCTGCACAGCTTAGTTCTGGGATCAGTGTCACTGTTGTCAAAGTTATGGTAAGCTTGCTTTGTCTGTAGTGATGTCTTTTATGTCTGTAAGAATCTGTTAACTATTAAACCTAATGAGAAAAGGGAGAAAGACCAAGTGAGAAGATTATTAATTCTTAGTGTTATAATCATTAAATAGTGCTTTGTGGACTAGCACATGGGATCATGCCTCTCCACAACTTGTGGTCTCCAGTAGTCTGTATTATTGTGTTATACTGCTACGTTTCCATGCCTTGACAGATGGCTGTCAGTCATCTTATCTTGTTGTCTTCCCATAACTCATTTTCCAAATATTTGTCTTGTTATTACAGCAGCTCCCATTTTTTCTTCTTCTCAAAATACGGCAAAAATAACGGTTGCTTCTTTCAAATGTATATAATTTGCTATAGAGAAACCGACAAAAGTCACTGAGAAACTATCATTGTATTTATGTTTCCATTGCTTGACAGATGGGTGTCAATCATCTTATCTTGTTGTCTTCCCATAACTCGTTTTCCAAATATTTGTCTTGTTATTACAGCAGCTCCCATTTTTTCTTCTTCTCAAAATATGGCAAAAAAATGACAGTTGCTTCTTTCTAATGTATATAATTTGCTATAGAGAAACCGACAAAAGTCAATGAGAAACTATCATTGTATTTATCCCTCCTAAAGCAAGCTAGTTAGTTAGTCAGGGTTACAACATCATTGCAAACTGGTCATCCCATAACTGTTCCGTTCCTGTGCCAGTGGAAATCACACAAAATGTCCGTAACTGTCTCATTTGAAAAATTAGAAAATAACTTGTCAGTCACTGCAAAATCTTGAAGCTTGCATACCAGAACTGTAGCTCACTGTTGGTGCAAATCATCATTCACCTGCAAAAGTACACACCATTCTGAATGCTATTAGCCATGCGCCATTTTAGTGCAGTCAACAGTACACCACGGGAACAAAAGAAAAAAAAAATTCCACATGAAATCCACAGTTCAGTGTTGCACCAAGCACCCAGCTCAGTAGCAGGGTGACAAAACCTTTAAACTCCTGGTCCAGAAATAGGAAATTTGCAAAACCTAGATGGAAACAAATAACCTTTGAGTGTGTCACCGGTCAGCTGGCTATCGGCTATTTTGGGCCTGAAGTCCATCATCTAGAATAGATGCTTCTTAACATTTTGCAGTCTCCAGAACTCTGTCTCAGTTCGTTATAATAACATCTTTCCATGCTTTGACAGAAGGGCATCTTAATTCATTCTAATGACACCTTTCCATGCTTTGACAGAAGGTTGTCTTACTTCGTTATAAGGACACCTTTCCATGTTTTGACAGAAGGCTATCTCAGTTTGTTGTAATGACACCTTTCCATCCTTTGACAGAAGGTTGTCTTACTTCGTTATAAGGACACCTTTCCATGTTTTGACAGAAGGCTGTCTCAGTTCGTTGTAATGACTCCATCCTTTGACAGAAGGTTGTCTTACTTCGTTATAAGGACACCTTTCCATGCTTTGACAGAAGGCTGTCTCAGTTCGTTGTAATGACACCTTTCCATCCTTTGACAGAAGGTTGTCTTACTTCGTTATAAGGACACCTTTCCATGCTTTGACAGAAGGCTGTCTCAGTTCGTTGTAATGACACCTTTCCATCCTTTGACAGAAGGTTGTCTTACTTCGTTATAAGGACACCTTTCCATGCTTTGACAGAAGGCTGTCTCAGTTCGTTGTAATGACACCTTTCCATCCTTTGACAGAAGGTTGTCTTACTTCGTTATAAGGACACCTTTCCATGCTTTGACAGAAGGCTGTCTCAGTTCGTTGTAATGACACCTTTCCATCCTTTGACAGAAGGAATCTTCTTTTGTTTTCTTCCCCTAATTCTTTTTCCTTAAATCTCTCTAGTTGTCATAGCTTGTTCTGGTTTTTCTCTTCTGATAATACGGCAAAGATTATAACTCCTTTTTTCTAATGTATATAAGTTGCTATCCAGAAACAGGGGAAAGTCAGTGGGAAATCTTGGCTGTATTTATCCCTCCTAAAGCAAGCTTCTAAACGAACTGTCCTAGCCTACACAATCAAGAACAACTTTACACATTTTGCACATTTACTGTTAGAAGTAAGTACTGGAGGCTTGTACTATAACATCTTCATACTTTGAAGCTCATTGCTTCATTTTGACTTTTTCTTCATTCATCATCTGGCTATGCTAAACATTCAGTCCCATCTGTGTCACAAACAGGAGGGTGTGCTAAGGTCACCAGCTGTATACTTAGCTCACAGCAAGTCTCCCCCTTCCCTTTCCCACAGCTGTGTATCTCCATTGGGCCAGCTCCTTAAACTCTCAGTAGTTAGGGCAATCCAGATTGAATTATAATTGAACTTTTCACCAAATGACTGTGTAGGGATTACCAGAAGACACTTGTAGAAATACTGGAATGAAAGAATAAACAAGCAGATCAACACAGTTTATTTAAAGCAGTGTTGGGCATACAGGCCTGTCTGACATTGCATCTTCTTATCCATTATTTTACAATGTGTGTTGGTAAATTCATGTAAAGTGATTTTTCATATAATAGGCTAAGCATGACTCTGAGAGGAGACTAGTAAATTGTTAAAGATTTTTGAACTACCAACAGTAATGCATGGCATTCTGAAAGCTATTCATCTATTGCAGTGAGGCATGACAGTCTATCAGCACTTGAATTTATATATAGTGCTTACTCTCTTTTTTCCCACATTTCTTTGTCTCCCTTGCCCTCTTCCTCTCTCTATCTCTCTGTCTCCATCTCTCTGTCTTTCTGTCTTCGTATCTCTCTCGCTCTCTCTCTCTCTCTCTCTCGCTCTCTCTCTTGCTCTCTCTCCTCTCTCCTCTCTCTCTCTCTCTCTCTCTCTCTCTCTCTCTCTCTCTCTCTCTCTCTCTCTCTCTCTCTCTCTCTCTCTCTCAGCACTTGAATTTATTATTACTCTGTTTTGTCCCACATTTCTTTGTCTCCCTTACCCTCTCCCTCCCTCTCTCTTTCTCAGTCTCTGTCTGTCTCTCTAGGTCTATCTCATTCTGTCTCTGTCTGCTTCTTTATATTTGTCTTTGACTCTTTATGAGTGAGTGTATTTGTTGGGATAGTGCAGCCTTATATTACAGAAGGTAAAATATAATAAACACATAAAGTCTGCATCTTATTTTATATTTGATTGTAAAATATTTCCTTTGTGATCAGTTCCAAAAATAAATACATATCATTATGAAATTTCCCATAACAACCAAGAAGCAGGTGAAAACTGCAAATTATTATAGAAATTAAGTTTTGATCTGCAATGCGTGATCACACCTAGCACAGCCAACAGTGTTGGGTGAGCTAGCTAACCTGGGACGGTGAACAGCCAAAACTTCTAGCCTGCTGCTGTCCCACGACCACACAAAACAACCCCATCTCCCTGTTGTGCAGACTGGTAACTGTAGCTGTAAGGATACAGGCTAATGGGGAAATAGCCATCTGGAGAGAATTGGGCTCCACCAGGATTGAAATGCTGCACGAGACACACCATGTTGACTGACATAGATTATTCACCGGCTCGGTTGTCACAAGAGTTGCATTTGTCACAAGAGTTGCGTCTGACCAACAAAAGTGGAGAGAGATGACACCAGCAACTGGGGCCGTAAAAATACAAGGTGTTAAAGGGCTATGATGAAGTTTCAATAGTTTAAGGTTTTATTTGTGTGTATAGCATTTTATGAGGAAAAAAAAATAAATATGAAAGTCTAGTGAAAACTAGCAACCTTTATTTTCATTATGTATATTCTTATATATTTGTGATGCGAGGTTTACTGACAGTGAATAGAACATGTAAACGTCTACTTGTAATGTGTCCACATTATTATATACATCTGAAGTTCTTTGTAATTGCAGTGTGGAAGTCCGGCAGGAATGGGACAGCTTATGAAGTATTTTGAATCTCAGAGCAGACGTTTAGACAGACAAACTTTCCAGTCCCATCCAAGCCTAAACGCAGATTTTGAATCTAAAATCAAGTTTAATGGAGTGCCTATATTGCCACCTGCTGTGAGTAATTCTGTAGATATTTCTTCTTCATGCTAAGATTTACTAACCTTTCATTTAATTAAGTGTAAAATACCCCTGTGTGGGTTCCGGGGCCCTATTATAGGGAAAGCAAGAATAGTCCCACTGCCTACTAAAAAGCATGTTGTAAGAGGCAACTAATTGGGATCTTCCTGAGAAGCAAGGAACCAACAGTCTGCATACAAAGTAGTCAGATCTGTCAAACGGATGCACATGCAACAATCAGGTTCTGGAACAGGACTGCAGTCCAGAAGTGGACGAACAGCCAGAACTTTCCACTGGAGTTTACAGCCGGTGATTGCGAAGAAGATTTAAATGTAATTTGTTTCAGTTAATATCTTCATCTGGCTTTTTTTTTTCCAGCATCCAGAAGTTAAATGTATACATTTTTGTATCACTTATTGATTGAGTCAGTCAATGCAGAGACTGATACTGAATGTGTAATCCTAAAGTGTTTTTTTTTTCCATAACTGTAGATTGACATATATGACAAGTATAAAATACATTACATTAGTATATGCCCAACTTGAGCTAAAAATCTTGAGGTTGACTTGTTCACCAGTTTGACTTGTAAATCACAGTTTACTGTAAATCACAATTTACCACTTTGTGGTATGTACCTCCACTGTCTCAGCAATTCTCCGCAGCCTGGCATAAGTCTACCCCTCAAAAACCTTGCAGCCCTGTGTGATGTAGTTTTTCTATTGCACTAGATCTTGCGCTTTAATATTTTAAGTAAAAACCTAGCCAAGATGGACTTTATATTTTTTTAATGCTTTACAATTATCTCTGTAGTTGTATCTTTATTCCAGTGTCCTTAGAATGTGTTTATTTATTGTTTGCTTTATCGTTTATTCTTTGTCTGTCTTATTTAATCTCATAAAGTAAATGTCTTGAACAGACCAAGTCACAGTTTTTCGCTTACGCACTGGACACTGCAGACTCAATAAACACTCATATAAATTAGGTATGAGCCAAACAGCTCTCTGCCAGTGTCTTCGTGCTGAACAGACTCCAGAACATGTCCTGCAAGACTGTCCTCTCCTGGCGGAGCTGCGGAGCAACATATGGCAACACCCAGTAGAACTGACAACTAAGCTTTGGAGAAACCTAAGAGACCTTGAAAAGACATCCCAGTTTATGACCCACAGTGGATTATGCGCATGACCAGAGATCGCTGAAGAAGAAGAAGAAGATAAAGTAAATGTTCACTTAGTAAATTAGTGATTCATTTGTATGTATATTTATTTGTAACACTATATTGGAGACAAGAGAGAGACCATAGCTGGAAATGTAGTTAATTTTATATGTTCACCCACTTCTCGTTTAAGGGAATGTGTGTATAATAATACATTATTGTATCTATGAACACACAGATGACATCTAGCAGACGTGATGAACTTCGCCAGTATAAGAAGGATGCGGTTTTGTTAGAGAAACGATTAAAAGCCAGGCATCGAAGAGAGCTGTTGGCAAAAGCTGATTCATTGGTTAACCAGTCTCAGGTATAGTTTGTTGTTATTTTATTCTGATTATTATTGTCTGTGTTATATTGAATGTTTAGAAAACTGTTTTTAATGAACAAATGATGTAAGTCTGTATGTTGAGAACAATGTGTTTTATTATAAATATATAACAATTATATATATATATATATATAAACAAAAAGAGCAGTAGCTGTTCTAGCGTTCTGTTTTAAACTGAGTTTTTTTTTTTTCAAAAGCATTAAGGCAGAAATTAATAGTATTATTTTGTGAAATAGAGTAAATAATTGTTATTTGCACGAAAGTCAAGGTTATTTATATTGAGCTATTGGTATATAAATTAGTCCCTGTGATCAATGCTCACCAAAAAAGAGACAAATGCAGTCCGTCTCCTTAGACTTGACTGCTTGCATCGGGTTTATTGCTTTCCACCTCCAGGTGATGCTCCTGGAAACAGGCTCCTTCATTGTAGTTTTTGTGACAGAAGAAAGATTAAACATGCACCTGCTCCTACTAAGTTTAAAGTTATTTAACTTTTGAAAATAAATCCTGATAGATAAAACCAAAAGCTAATAGAGCAGGATTGTAACTAAATAAGGACAATTAGTAAAGCATAAATTTACTGTTAGATGTATAGTTGGAGACTACCTGTAATTGACATGTCAGCTCTGTATATTAAATGATGTAGACATTATTCCAATCTTGAAATTTATGAAAGTTACAGAGATACACTTATCTTGCTTCTTTAGGTTTGCTTTCCTAGGACGTCTTCAAGACAGACAGCTAGGCAGTTGAACTTTGACTCTGAAGGACAAAATGAATCAAGCAGTTCTAATCATCAGTATGACAGGTTTTTGGGCACACATACATTTAGTACAGTTGCTGAAGCTGATACAGTCAATGATTCGGATGACTTTGGCCTTCAGACAATGGACTCTGTCAACTCAGATTTTATGTCTTTAGGTTCTGAATCAATTCCAAAAGTATTCAGTGGCCTTGTGTTGACTTCCGTTAAAGAACAGAAAATTTCTTATGACCTCGATCGTCTGTCAAAAGCCTTGAATGTTCAGGATCTGACATCCTCAAGTGGCAGTGATTTAAGTGATTCGATGGACTTGCCCCAGACACAAGACAATAGAAGTATCCAGGCTGCCAAGGATAGAAGCATTTTACCAACCACAGTTAGTCCAGAAGATAAGTTTCCCAGTCAGAGAGGTACCACTGAAAGTATACCTCATTCGGCGAGCTACCATCATGATACTGATGATATGTCGGTTAGGGAGTTACTGCAGTCGGCAAAACAGTCTTTAGAATCTGGTAAGATAACTACAAATGACATCATGTCATCAGGTTTTATAGAAAAGGCAAATTCAGAACAGTCTCACAATAGCCACAGTAGCTCACCAGGCTCTGGGATTGCTAACATGTCAGCACCTGCAGATGGACAGTGGAGCAACAGAAGTAGCCCAAAGTCTCAGAAAAGTGGAGTCCACTTTGCATCATTTGTCACCGAATACATCAATACAAGTGCAAGGACAGAACAACCAACTGTGATCAAAAAGAAAATGAATTCTGATTCTCAGGGTGTCACTAAACAAACCAGTGATGACAATACAGTTTTACCTATAATATTAGATCCTAGTGAATCTCGTAAGAGAAGCTTGTTGTCACAGAAAGTTTTTGATTTTGAAAATAGTATAGGAATAATGGATAAAGTTTCTGCCCATCCAGATAATTCATCCCCACCTACTTCCCCTTTCAGCAGTAGTCAGATACCATTTCAGTTGTACGGAAGGTCTGAATTGAGCAGCTCAGACAAAGAGAATGATGTTACACAATCATATAAAACTATCCAGCATGGTCATAAAAGAGCAGTGGAACCTGATAACAGTTCAGGACGCAGTTTGCGTGAAAGAGTGGGTACAGAATCTCTAATGTATGACAGCAGACAACAGATCTGTGTAGAAAAGATGACTGGTAATTCCTCTGCAGCTGGTGCAAGAATTACAGTTGGAGATAATATCTTAAAAAATTTAGCACGTCATTCTGAAGGAATATTATCTTCTGTTGTCAGGGAAGGTGGAATATCTTCAGATTCACTGGTTTCTGGCTCTAGTTCTTCACTTACTGCCAGTGACACAACATCTGTAACGAACTCCACCACTTGTTTCATTGCTAAGTCAGTTACTGTTGGTACAATTTCCATGGAGAACAAGTTAGTTTCAGACTCTCAGGCTTCAACCAGGTCAAACACACTAACGAATACATCAGAATCAAGCAGCAGCACTGTTAGAGAGGAGCTCCCTAAAGATGTTTCCACTGTAGGTATGAACATTATTAATACAGATCTGCTGTCTGCTAGCACAGAGAGTCAAGAAAAACCAGAACGCATTGTTAAAACTGTCAAAGAGCTTCAGCCTTGTCAGTCAGAGTCTCCAAAGAAACTCAACATAAATAGTTCATTCAGAGAATCAGACACACAAGAAAATGTGACACCCTCCAGAAGCAACATATGCAGGAATTCCTATACTTTAAATGAACCTTCACCGGCTTTAATCCAGGCACATGGCAGACCAGAAAAGAATAATACAAGGGATAAGAATGCTGAACTGAATGTAACAGTGAAAGCAGACATAGCCATTCCAAGCAGAAAACAGCAAACTGTTGGTGATCAGATATCACCAAAAAGATTGCAGACTACGTTAAAGAATACAGCAGCTTCTGAATTGAATGTGAAAACCTCATTATTGTCAGATGCTGAGAAAGAAGGGAAAGCAGAACATATCAATAAATATCTGAATCAAGTCCAGCTTCAAAACTCCATGAACTTTACTGGTCAGAGCTGGAACACTCAGAACATGCCTGATGATATAGAACCTGATGAAGAGGCTCAGCCCATATCTGCAGCAACAGATAATGATGATTGCCACACATCTGTACTGGATGTCCTGAGGTAAGTTATAGTGTTAGTGCAGCCATGATGCTAGTGTTATGATGTTTCCTATAAAGGAAGCAAAGAAGTGTAACATTGTAACCTACCAGGATTGTCGTAAAAGATGACAGAGGAGTATTGCCATTGGTCTGGCTATCCCATTCTCTAGATTCTCAGAATCACCTGGGTGTTTCCAACATTGAGGTTATGGCCATTGAGTCTAGCCGGTCAAATGAAAGAGTATCTTCGGATTTATCTAATGTGTCTACTAGGTTTTCTTTTTTCTAAGGATCTTAATATCCAGCATAGTTTTATTTGGAAAAACAACTTTGTAAACTCTCACCAATCCTTCCTCTCTGGGTAACTTCCTGTCCGCTGTCTTACTCCTGTAAAATACATGACACAGAGCTTCTACTGTTCTAGCATGTTATGGAGATTTTGTGGCAAACCTAACTGCAGAGATAAGTGATTTTATGTATTCTTGTTTGTAATTGTATCATTGTCCTATGCCGATACAGGCTTTCTGGCCACATATGCCCTTTGCTTTTGATTGTGTTTTTGTGTAGTCGATTAGTTCTCTACTTTGGATTGATGGTTGTTTGTGTCAAAAAACTTTTACACTAAAATCCTGTCAATCATTACTGATTGAAGAATCCACATCATAGCACACCGGGCATATCCATAGATGCTCCGTCTTCTGCAGCAGATGTCTTAAAGTGTAGATGCTAAGTTCCCGTAGCTCACTGATTATACGCGTCGTTTTCTTTCTCTCATACGCCTGTTCTTGCCAGACCCACTCCTGATTCTTTGTTCACACATTTATACACGTGTTTCTTCATCTAATTTCGTGTTTTCTATCTACATTCCTTCATATATGGTTTTCACAATATTTCCCGTGTCCAGTGTTCCCTTAGTTATCTCTTTTATAGCCAGAAAATTTGCTCTTTCATTCCCTGACACTTCTGCATGTCCCGAACAGTATTTCCATGTAATGCAATGTTGACGTACTGATGCTTGGTATCCACTCATGCCACATTTGTCCATTTTGAACCTTCCGCAGTACCAACTGAGGATCAAGACACAATAATTCCTCTGATAACTTTATTTTCTGCTATCCACCTCAGTACTGCAGTGATTGCCTCCACCTCCATCGTCATGCTTGAAGCCGTAGAAACAAAAAGCTTCATTTTGTTCTGCCGTGATCTTTCCCTTCATTCTAGATGAAAATCCACAGCCAGATCTTACAGAACCATCGGCGGTGTACACTATTGCATCATCTAGCCCGTTTTCTTCTATCATTTGTTGTACTTCTAATTTTGCCATATTGTTACATCACTCTCTACATTATCTTCCTAATGTGATAATGACCTGATGGAAACTGTTGTTGCGGGTGTTCATGTCAACCCATTCAGTGCTCCTGTGTGTTTGCTTGACTGTGGCCGCTGTCATGATGGTATCGTCAGCTAGTGCCATCCATGACTTTCCTCTTTTCAACCAGTCTTTTCTCAAATCTTTCAGACTGCCTTGCAACAGATGCCTTTCATCACTGGTAACTCCCATATAGGCCTTGGCTTGCGCCAGTGACAGTCTAGACTTTATCGATGTCAGCCTAAGCAAATAACCCATAGTTCTAATTGGTGTATCTCAGGTGCAACCCAAGCATATAAACTATAGTTCTAATTAATGTCTCTCATGTGCAACTCAAAGGATCTAACCCATAGTTATAATTGGTGTGTCTCATGTGCAACCCAAGATGATTCTCATTCCTTGATTTTGAATCCATTTCTACAAATGACTTGCCCTGAGCTGGTTGACTGCCTGTACTCTTTTGATGAAAGCAAATCGATTAAGCCTAAACTTGGTGCTAGGAAATGTCCTGTGAGGTAAAGGTAGTCAATTTGGTATTAAATAAGCTTATCGTTGAAGTCGACTTTTTTAGGGTCCTTATACAAGTATACATTTTTTAGTTTCTTCAGTCTGTTTAAAATACATAAGTTATTTGAATATTCATTAGAGGATGTTGCAGAACCATCCCTAGTATTATTGGTTGTTTTATGGTTTATTCTGCAGTTTTACATTCAGTAGGATGCCATTGCTTTCTGAATTGTTGGTTCTATACCATTGTTGAAATCAACACAAAGTGATCTGCTGCCAAATCACCTGCCTCTGAATTGAACTGGGTATTTCGGAATTACAAGTCACATTTGTAAAATGTAAGCCACAGATGCTGGCAAATCCAAATTAATCCTGTTCACATTACAGCTTTTAATCTACTATATGTTACAGGTCTGTAGTTGAAAGTCAGGGCAGTCTAGAAAAACATACAGTAGCAGAACTACTGGACCTGCACCAGCAGCAAATGAATGAGAGGAGGCAGTCACTGATTAGACAGCAGCAGAGAGAGATGGAAGAGCTGTTTGTTCAGCAGGTTGGACTTCCTCTTATCATTTTATTTCCTGTCCTAACTACTAATATTTCTTCTTCTTTTTCTTCCCTTTATTTCCCAGTGGAGTAAAGACATTCAGCCAACACACACCAAGCCATCCTGTCCTTTTCCTTTTGCATGCAGTTTACCCCCATATCCTTCTCATTTTTTTTTCTCTGATCCGTCTCTATTTCTAAGCCTATGTTTGTTCCAGTGCATAACTTACTAGTTATATTCTTCTCTGTTTTTCTCAATGCGTGTCTAATCCATTGTCAGTGTCTTTTCCCCCCCTTGATTCGCAGGATTTGTTTAGTTCTCTCCCAAAGCTCAGCATTAGTGATTATATCATACCATTCAATTCCCTCTGTTATGCGTAGGCTCCAGTTAATGAATGGTTGTAGTTTCTTAGTAATTGTTTTAGTTGTTCTCAATGTTTCCACTTCATACAGCAGTACTGATTGGACATTATAATTAAAATTGTAAGTTTAATATTAGTTTTAATGTCCTTTGACTTCCACAAACTTCCTAGAACACTTTTTTTGTTTTTGTATTTTTATTTTAATATCACTGATATTGCTAATGAATATTAAATCTTCTTCATTTGCACTCTCCCTATTTCAGTTTTGATGCCTCTTGTGGGGAGGGGGAAGGGGAATAGCCACTGTCCCCTTAACAAGCATGTCATGGGAGGCGACTAATTATATGAGTTTCTTTCAAAGTCAGGGTGCATCTGCCTTAGAGTCAAGAAACGAACAGTCTGCCTACAGTTAAGCCAGATCTGTAAAATAGATATGGACGCAAAATTCAAGTTTTGGAACAAAATCAAAATCAAGAAGTGGATGAATAACCAGAACCTTCAGTGCTTTCTTAATATCCTACCCCAAACAGGGGAAATCCACAGGTCACGGGACAGTCTAATATTTCAGTGGGTGGTAGATAGGCTGCATGCAGTCATGGGACCTAGGCTGCACTCTCTCGTGGGACATAGGTTGGTGGGGGTTAGGGCCAGTTCTAGATGTTTTAGGGTTATTAAAAGCATCAGAAAGCCGGGAAACCGAGTCCTACCACCCTTTAAAATGTTGGACTGTCCTTTAACGTCATCTTGGTTAGGATATTACGAAAGGACCGAACCTTCCGCTAGAGTTTACAGCTATTGAATGTGAAGAAGAAGATAAAGAAAAGATTTGCACTCAGACCTGTGTGTTAACCACACTGATAAAAGCACTAGTTTCAAGTTAAAAATACTCAGATAGTTTTTGTTTGAATGGAATTGGCCATGGTCTATTTTTCATGTCAGTTTAGCTTTGTGTGTGTGCGTGCGACGCACGCACGCGCATGTTTTTTAAAATGTTTTATTTTAACGATCAAGCAATTTATGATACTCTTCTAGTTCATATTTCTGTTTCATTCAGAACCCAGCTTTCGCTTGCTATTATAGTCCACAGGTGTGTTATGCTCTCATAGATTAATGCTTTTAAATTAGATGATTTTGAAATAACCATGGTGTTGCTAGTTACTGCTGACTAGAAATACAATTTCTGTTTATTAAACCAGCTGTAAGACCATCTAAGAATCTACAAAAACAGCCATGTCGTACCTAGGTATACATCCCTAATCTGTTCCATAGCCGTGGATGTTAATCAAACAGGATGTATATGAAATAAATTTTCTCATAAGAAGTAAACGGAAAATGATTAATCTGTTCCCATGAAAGCTAAAATAAATTTTTAAAAATAAAAAAATTTAAAATCCTATTGTTATTGGCATATTGTACATTGATGAAGTTGTCTAAAATAATTAAAACACTGCCTAATACTAAGATAAATACATATAAAATAATTAGATAAAATAAGTGAACATTGAACCTCACTTTGCTTTGCTGAGAAAAGTCGATTGCCTGCTGGAAGAGAGGGGAGGGAGATGTTATTGTTTAGAAGGAGTCCCCTTCCAGTGAACCTTCAGGAATCTGAAATTATGCTGTTTTTTGCTTCTTTGTTCTTTTTCTGTCTCTTTTCCCCCACTTTGACCTTGTTGGGGCTCACAAGTTTCTAGCATTCGAGTGGTAATCCAAACACAGGTTGTAAACCAAGCGAAATTGTTTTTGTCCAAATGAGTGAGATACTGACTGCTGACCAAAAGACGTGACAGTGTTATTTTCTATTACAACCATTTCCCCCCCTGTTTTCTTCCATCTGTTTGACAGTTCCATCTTATATCATTTCTCATGTATTACTTAATTTTTAGAAAGTATGAGTTCATGTTTAACAAAATACATTTTTATTATTCTTCAACAGAGACGCCAAATGATGCTGCTGGATGCTGAGATCAAAGCAGTTCAACAGCAGGAGCAAGAGCAGAAGCAGTTTCTCATAGAGAATGCTCCTGAAAATATTAAGGTGAAATCTAAAAATAAAAATGGAGAGTATAGTCCTCTGCAGACTGGCAATTCTGACAGTAATGAAGCAAAAAGTTGGCAATCAAAACCAAAACCCATGACAGAGGCTTCAGTTAATGTTCCAGGTAGTTTATCAGCTCATGCTTTCAATCAGTCATCATCAGATAAACACTCACCAGTGACCAGCACAAGGTTAAAGCTTAAATCTGACCCGGAAATGGATACTAAATCAGGAAAACCAGAACAAGTGAAACCAAAATCCTTTTATCAGACAAAGAAAAACAGTATGTTGCACAGCTCCCCTCAGAGTACAAGTGATGATAGTCAGACGAGAGTGAAACATGTTGGTGATGATTTTTACTCCAGTGTTGCATCTGGTGTCAGAGTTGTCAGTCGGATTCCAGAACTGAGTACTTCAACAACATCTCCACATTTGCGACATCCTCTTGTGGTGAGGTCTCCACAGAAGTACACCCCAAAACAACGAAATGACAGAGTTGTCGTTCCACAAGAGGTGAATTGTTATTCTCTTGAGTGTCTTTTTATTGTTATGAATTTTTTTAAACAGTTTTTGTTCAGTATGTGGACTTTAGGGGAGCCACCATGTGTAGCCACTAGACGTTCGAGTGCGGATGCAAAGGTCGTAGGTTTTAACTTGAACGGAGCCAGACTTTTTGTTTCTTTCAGAACTGACCTTGGCTCCCAGGTCTTACCAACCTTAAACGGGAGCCAGGTAAATTCTTTGGAAGTAAAGGTGGCCGGTGTGATGTGGACCACATCACCTACCGAGTGCCGATTGGTCTATAAAATATAGGTCTTGCCCTGTATGCCCAGTACACCTAAAGGCATGTAAAAAAAAACTTAAATTTTTTTCAGTGTGTGGAATTTATTATCTATTTCATAAAATATTCTTAGAATTTGCTACTTCGCTACAGTTTTATTTAATTTTTCTGTTTACACTATCTGACTCCATAGCACCGATTACACCATAGTATCAGATTAAACAGATTCTTTCATTTGGGAGTGACTAAACATTGTAGAGTCACAATAGATCATCACTCTGTAGAAAGAATAGTCCAGCAAGGAGTGACCAGGAGATCGGGCATACACTTAGAGGAAAGGTGATATTGTCAGACTGCTGCACTTGTATTACTGGAATTGGAGCTGCCTGTTGAATTGCATTGTATGCTGAAGATGAGTACAGAGTGCTTTTGGGAATCTCGTGATCGCTGTGATATCAGTTTTTAACTGAACTGAACTCATTTGGATAACTGGAGGAACTGTGTAGGCAGTTCTTTAATTTCTGTTTAACTCCTCTCTGTCTATGAGTGCCAATTAATACCTGTGAATTCATTCTTGTGCTGTTTCATTTGGACTGCTAGGATTGTTCTGTTGTTGTTTTGTTCTAGCAAGTCATATGTTGTTTAGTCCTAATAGATTTATTTTGTTTAATTCTAACAAGTTGCTGAAGTAAGATTGATTTCATTATGTTTCAAAGTAAGGACCTCTATCTCTGATCGGTAATGTTCTCTCTCTCTCTCTCTCTCTCTCTCTCTCTCTCTCTCTCTCTCTCTCTCTCTCTCTCTCTCTCTCTCTCTCTCTCTCTCTCTCTCTCTCTCTCTCTCTCTCTCTCTCTCTCTCTCTCTCTCTCTCTCTCTCTCTCTCTCCCCCCCCCCCCCCTCCCTCCCCCTCTCTCTCTCTCTTTTTTTCCCTCTTAATTTATTACTATTTATTTGTTTAATTTTCTTCTTGTTTTTTCTCTCATTAAGGCCTACCTGCCAGAGATGCAAGTAAAATTTGATAAATTAACTGCTGTTGCCAAAGGATTTCTAACAAGATGTTTAGTGAAATCTGACAAGGTTCAGGAGCTCATTAAAACTATAAGGGCAAGTTTTTATGATTGGTTTTGGTTTATGTGCAAATATAAAACTATATTTTCATGATAATAATTGTTTATTCGTGTAGTTTATTTTGATATTTGTTTTAAACAATGTTTAAGCTCGCTGTTTTACAATTTAAGAGAATCAGTTTATGAAATGTTGAGTCTCTGAGAACTGAAGTTCTGATTCCAGAAACAATCAATATCATTGTTATCTTGGTAAACCTCAGGAAATGCCATAAGGATGCTGACCAGCCGAGTAGAACATTTTTATTCCATCTTCTCGTAATCCCTGCTAGTAAGTCCATTTCTGGACTTTGGCTTAGTTCCGGGACGTGAGTTTTGAATGTGCTTCTGTTTTGCAGAATTGGCTTATTTCTATGTAGTCTGCTGTTTAATTGCCTTTCAGGCAAATGCACTTCGCCTTTGAAGTGGATGTCAATCCTATCTTTTGGATGACTGCCGTCAGTGCGAATTCTTTGTATCATACAGTGGGATGTTACCATTTTGTAGGTCATTGATCTATGGCATCTGAACCAGTAATTTAGTAGAAGATGGCCCGTAGACTTCACTTGTGTTCCAAAGGAGTTTTGGATAGATATTTTTACCGATGATTTTGGTTTTGGCTGATGAGTGTTGGAGATTTTCTAGGCACTGCATCTCGGGGGTGGGGGGCACCAACTCCAAGATCCCCTAAAATCTGTGTTTAGGTTGATATAGACAGTTATCTATGATGCACAGCATGAAAGTGTGGCAGACATTTTGCATGAGGTACTGTAAACCCAGCATTGAGAGTGCTAGCACCTGAGGTGATATGCAGCCCATGTCTGAAATCACAGCACCATGCATGGCCTTATTAAATGTAACAGCTCTGAAACCACTTTGGACTGACAAACTGTAAGAAAAGTATAACCCTAAAGGATGGGGTAGCTAACCCCTTGCCAGCCTTAATTATTTGTTACTTATAATATGCATCAAGACAATATTTGCCATGAGTTTTTACTGAACATTTTTGAAAAATGTTTATTATGTTTGTGTTACAGGACACCCGGGAATTTGCCTTTAGTTTCCAAACTGAAACTCCAATTAAAAAAGGCGTCTTCACATCGCAGGACAAAGTCTTGCTAGAACGAATCATAGCACAGGTCAATATCGTGTATATGTTGTTTCACCGAACGCAATTATGATTGTGAATAGTTTGTCAGTGCTTCGATTTAATGTGCTTTTCTGGTTTTTATAGAAATTTGAATGTTTATATGATAGACTATATTGTATCAGCAAAGTGAGTGGCTGAGAAAACCACCTATTTATTTAATGTTTTCTTGCTTTTTATTAAAATTGTCTTTATTATTTACCCACTGCCTACCCCAAGAAAAAAAACATGTTGTAAAAGGTTACATAATGGGAGCCTTCTTCAAAGTTTGAGTGCGTCTGCCCGAGCGGCAAGGAACAACCAACTATGCGCAAATGGGCCAGTAAAACGGATGTAAAAGCAGAAGTCAAATCCTGGGATAAAGCCAAAGTCCAAATGGATGAACAACCAGGACTCTCCACTGGAGCTTATAGCCAGTTATCAAAGAAGAAGATATTCGATAATATCTTTAAAGCTAATACAAGATATTTATTGCAGAAATCTTTTGCATAGCTTGAAATCTTGTTTCTTAACTTACTGTCCATTTACACTATTTTTTAGTTTACATTTTTCGATATCTGTGTTAGACATTTAAAAAAAAATGTTCTACTCTAACATTATGTCAGTGCAGAACTTTATTTTTCTAGAGCAAAAGATGCATACCACCAGAAAAAAAAAGCCCTATGTCAATGTATAATTTCAAGGTAACAAAGAATAAGTGTACTCTTCCAAGTAGGGGAAACAAATAATTCAGATGAATTTTTAAAAAAAAACTTCTGAGTATGACAGATAACTATTCAGGGGAACAAAGAATAAATATTGTGCTCTGCTAAATATGACCCCAAAAAAATTCAGGGGAACAAGAAATAAATACTGTGCTCTACCAAGTGTGACAGGCAATAATTCAGGGAAACAAAGAATTAATATTGTGCTCTACCACGTGTGACAAACAACAATTCAGGCGAACAAGAAATAAATATTGTGCTCTACCAAGTATGACAAACAACTATTCAGGAAAACAAGGAATAAATATTGTGCTCGACAATGTATGACAAACAGTTAAGGGAACAAGGAATAAAAAAATATTGTGCTCAACCAAGTGTGACTGACAAAAATTTAGGGGAACAAAGAATAAATATTGTGCTTTATCAAGTATGACAAACAACAATTCAGGTGAACAAGAAAAAAATATTGTGCTTTATGAAGTTAAACATTTAAGAGGGTCGTTGAGTTAAGAACTGACATAATAAAATGTTTATAAGTACTCCATGCCCATCTTTAGCAGCTAGTGCAGCTCCGATTCTGATCAAAGCAATAGCAATCTGTCTTGCCTTTTCTCTGAGTGTTGATCATCAGCCAAATCCCTTGGTCACTACCCGTGGCTTTATTCTGTCCACACCATGATATATTTGTGCTTCCACGCTGGTCACCTGCTCTCAAAAGGGCATCGACCATATCTATATTGTCATGCATCAGTTTACCGCCAGGTTATGCTGAACTGACTAGTCTGTCTGTTCATTTCCTGACAAACTTTAATGCCATGGAGAAAATATCCAAAGCCACTACCCGGGATCTCTGAAGTGCTGCTTGCCAATCTGCATAAAGCATACCTGGCTCCACCTTTTTGAGCATACTTTGTGAGTCTGTTTAAGGGAACAAAGACCAAACATACTCTGCTAAGTGTGACATAAAGAACTAATCAGAGGAACCAAGAATAAATTATTATACTCTATTATAGTGACAACAAGAACAATTTACGCTTAATGCAAAGGTTGTGACTCAAGAACTTCACCAGACGGCCTGCAGAAGCAACTATACAAGACTTGAGCTGATTGGATGTAGAAAATTGGTTACTGCAGGCATCTTAAAACTAATGGCACAAAGGAACAACGTGAAGTAACCATGACAGAACTTATTGTTAATTGTTACAGTTAAATTAACTGTTGTGTTCTTTGTTTTTCAGCTTCAAGCAGCACTTTTAGACATTCACGAGATCTTCTTTGAAATCCCAGTTACTGATCGCCTGTTGTTGATAGAGCAGACACGCTTCAGTGAGCAAGAGAAGAGAGCCAAAGCTTCTGTAAGAACACTGTGAAATCAGACACTGTATTTAAAAAAAAATTTTTTACTAGGTCTTGATCACTTATCTAAATGGCCTATCTCATTGCCGCTGACTAGACAAATGCACACTTGATACGTTCCTTGGGACTGAAAATGTTATGTCATAATCATTATCATCCTTCATAAACAGTGGAACCTCGCTTTACGAGCATAATTCGTTCCAGAATCATACTCGTAAAGTGAAACACTGGTTATGTGAAACAATTTTTCTCATATAAATTAATATAAAATACGATAATGCCTTCCATGTCGAAAAAATACTCACAAAATTATATACATATTGTTAAGGAGAGTGAATCATCTTAATCTTTTCTTCCACCGCGGAATGAACCCACCTGGAATGCAAATTTGATTTGCAGAAAGGAAAAAAAAAATTCGAAATAATTATGATACAAAGCTAATTATTTTTTACTAGAAAAATGTCCAGAAGACATTTATTTTTGCAGACGCTTTAAAATTTGGAAAAAATATGACACAGCATTATCATTAAATAAATTTGCAGTGCACATAGCCACTTCCTTATTAGGGTGATGCTTCTCAATGTAAGATGCAACAGTTTCCCATGCTTTCAGCATTTCTCTTATTTCACCAGAAGATTGTTGCTTTTCTGTTATGTCCTCCTCCTCCTCTGACAAACTTTCCTCCAAAACTTCTTGCTGTGAAACACAGTGCAACTCCATAAGTTCTTCATTGGTCAGCCCTTGGCTGTGTTCTTCCACAAGCTCTTCGATACCACTGTTACCCACCTCCAATCCCATGATAGTAGCCAAAGACACAATCTCCTTGACTACAGGTTCCACAGGTACTGTCTCGAACCCTTTAAAATCACATTAGACAACGCTCTCAGGCCAAAGCGGCTTCCAAGCAGAAGTTAGGATTCTCTTGATAACACCTTTCCTTGTTGATCATCTTTTGGCAGGCAACGATGTGGAAGTGATTTTTCCAAAACTCTTTAAGAGTGAGGTTGATCCCTTTAGTCACCTGAAAACAATGCTCGAAGAGTGCTTTAGTGTAGAGCTTCTTAAAGTTAGAAATAACTTGCTGGTTCATGGGCTAGAGTAACAGAGTGGTGTTGGGAGGCAGAAACTGGATCTTGATGAACTTGATGTTTTATAATTCTTTGTTCATTTCTTCTCAGAGTGTGCCCACTGTATCTCCCCTTCTTTGTCTTATTACAGTCGATATGCATATTTGTCCAAACATTTCTCTGCTCTCTTCAATTTTTAAAATTCATTTCTTGTTTATGATTTTTCTCAGATATATATTTTCAAATACATTAACTTTAATGTTGTGTCGTGCTGTGCTGTTTAGTCAGTTGTCTCACCCTTGTGATGAACATTTTGTCGAGATATTTAATGTCATGCTCTGCTGATAAGTCAGTTGTCTCACCCTTGTAGTGAACATTTTGTCAGGATATTTAATGTCATGCTCTGCTGCTAAGTCAGTTGTCTCACACTTGTAATAAACATTTTGTCAGGATATTTAATGTCATGCTCTGCTGCTAAGTCAGCTGTCTCACACTTGTAATAAACATTTTGTCAGGATATTTAATGTCATGCTCTGCTGCTAAGTCAGCTGTCTCACACTTGTAATGAACATTTTGTCAGGATATTTAATGTCATGCTCTGCTGCTAAGGCAGTTGTCTCACCCTTGTAGTGAACATTTTGTCAGGATATTTAATGTCATGCTCTGCTGCTAAGGCAGTTGTCTCACCCTTGTAATGAACATTTTGTCAGGATATTTAATGTCATGCTCTGCTGCTAATGCAGTTGTTTCACCCTTGTAGTGAACATTTTGTCAGGATATTTAATGTCATGCTCTGCTGATAGGCATTTGTCTCACCCTTTTGATGAACATTTTATCAAGCTTTTTAATGTCGCACTGTACTGCAAAGGCAGTTGTCTCACTCTTGTTATGAACATCAATATTTGTATTAAAATATTTAATGCCATGGTGTGGTGAACCGGGAAAAAAAGAAGTAAATACTAATTTGTATTGATAAAGTACATTGAGTATAAAGTGTTAGGTCCATGTCTGCTATGGCTAAACAGCACATTATTCTAGAACTCATGGGTATGTCCCATTAGTCCACCAAAGTCAACTAAATGTAATTTTGACAATTTTCACCTAAGTGTATTTTCAAGGCTTTTATTTGTCACTTTGCAAGTTGCCAAAGACTCACCTGTAAATTTGTGCTCTAGATAGATCAGTATAAAGTATTAGTTTTCATGCAACTAAACAATTATTTATTTGCCACTTGATTTTCAAATGCAATTTTTTCAGTAGAAGTATTTTGCACTTTGGTGATTTTAACATAGTGCCAGCGAATTGTATGGCCCTCCTCTTAACAATTGACTGTCTTGGAGCAGTTAATCCTATCCATCAAACAATTAAATGTAAACATGATAAACAAATACACATGTATAGAGAAATTGTGGCCTATTTTAATTACAGTTAAGTGAACTAAATGGTTATTCTCTGAATCTTTGACTTGTGATTAAATAGGCCGTAGCTTTCCTGTCCACTTGTAATCAAACAGATACATTAAACTGACTTCTGCTTCATGTTTTCAGTGAAAATTGCAGTGTAACAATGCCTATGAAAATTGTCACCATAGAGACTAAGTTTTCTGTGATGTTTATGATTCTTCAGCACAGATTAGAGAGTTTTAAATGATTTTTGGCTAATAAGAAAGTTTTCATTTCTTGTATGCCATATTGGACATGTGTTTACCAAATTTTTTTTGTTATTTTAAGTTAAAACAATGAGTGTGGGTTCCAGGCCTCCATTTTGTGGGAATTAGAGAATAGATCCACCACTTCTTAACATGCATGCCGTAAAAGGTGACTCTGTTGGGCATAAATGTGCGGGTATCGTAACCACAGCCCAACCACCTTTAAGGGGTGAACACAGAAAAGAAAAAGAGATAAAAACATCTGCCAACTTTATTTATTGATTTTTATTCACGATTTGAATTAGCCTTAATAACAAAGAATTTTTGGCATCCATTCTCTTTGTTCTATGGTATAAATATGATATATTATGTCGCTATATTGTTTGCCTACATGATGTTGGCCAAGGCTCCTGTGTTGCAGTTTGTTGCTAAATATGGCTGTTTTTATTCCAGGCTAGAGACAGCATGAGAGAATCCATCCCTAAAATTAGCCAGGCAACATTGAAAGCATTGGAAAGGAAGCGAAAATCCAGGTAATAAGTTACAGTGTTTTTATGGAGGGAGCAAGAGGGCAAGACTTTCCTTTAAGCCCCACCACATGAGAGGGGAGGAATCACCGGTCTGTACCCAATAAGCCAGATCAGTATAATGGTTGTGCATGCAGAACTCAGACTCTGGAACAAAAACGTGTGCATGCAGACCAATGCAGACTCTGGAATTAGCACAGAAGGAGAGCATTACATTTCTGTGTCTGTTTACTTCCTTTAAGACGACAAGGATGACCAACAGGACTTGAGCTCACGGCTTAGCACAGAAGGAACGAGCATTACATTTCTGTGGTCTGATACATTCTTCCATCTGCACGTTCCACCAGCTGTTTAAACTTCTTCTTCTTCTTGTACTCACCGGCTGTGAAAATTCCGGAGGGTAAAGTCCACGGTTGTTCGTCCAAAAAGGATGGACTTTTGGCTTTTTACCTTAAACCTGAGTTTTTTTGCGTGTACATCCGTTTTACTGGGCTTACTTTGTTTGCCAAGTACTAAAGAAAGAGGAGTTCCCCCCCGCCTCTCCGGCAGATGTACTCCTACTTCGGAGGAAGACGTCAAGCCTATTTATAGGTTGAACTGTGGCCATTGTTTTGTGTGGGTCGAGATGTTGCCTTATTTGTGTGGTGTCCTCTTTGACTTTTAGCAGTGTGTGCCCCCCGGCATGTCGTCCTTAAGGCAGCTCTAATGTAGAGTTTTTCAGCCCTCAAGGGAAGGCAGGAGGGTGGCAGATCATGGGCATTCCCCGCCATCCAAGGAGGCTTCCATAAATGCAGAGCCGACACATGATGCTCTGGTTTCTGGGCTCACCCAGGAATCGTCACGTCCTGCCCATGACGCTTAACCTCACAACCGTGTATTGAGCTTCCCGCGCTACAAGGCTGCGCTCTCCGGAGATCAGCGGGGAGCAGCCCGCAGGTCTAGGGACGTTTGTGGCCACACAAATAGGTACATTCTTTTTTCATCTTACGTTTAGACACCTTTAACGTTGTTTCAGCTGTGCCCTTAGCACGACAGAATACGGTACGAGTTATGATCGTCGGACTTTGAGCTTGCATGTCGTGTGCCGTGGGGTGTAACTTTCTCGGACATTGTTTTCAAGCCAGCATATGAATAGTTGCTGCCATGGTGTACCCAGCAGCGCGGTGACGACGACACTGAGGGATTGACAGAGGATGTACGTAGGTAGGATCTTGCTGCGAGAGAGAGTCGCCACCAAGAGATGTTACTCGTCTTGGCTGCGGTTTTATTAAATCTCTCGGTCAGGGTTGAGTCTCAGCAGCACAGTTTTCCATTCGAGCTCCCCGAATTTTAACCAAGAGTTGTCATTTGATGGTACATTTAGCAGCAATCCTTGAGTTTTGTTACTTTTCACCCATGCGTTTGGGGCTGCGGGCTGGTGAGAGCCAGAAAGGTGACTCTACACCTCTAGGGGCCGCCAGCTCCGAGATCCCCTGCCAACTCTGTTAATGCTCGTTTGAGACATTATCCGTGGCGCACGACGGGGACGTGCAACAGGAGTCTTGCATGAGGTTCCGTAAAACCAGAACAGTGAAGGACTGGCGCCCGAGTGGGGTACGGAATATCTCCTTATACACATCACATCAGACTTAACTTCCCCTCATGCCTGTGACCGAAATCACCGCGCCACAGCTGTAAACTGTGGCAGAAAGTTATGGTTTTCATTCCCTTTTCCACTTCTGAATTTTAGTCTTGTTCCAGAACTTGAGTTTTTTGTGCACATCTATTTTATAGATCTGACATATTTGAATGCAAACTGTTGGTTGCTCGCCTCTTAGACAAATGCACTCTGACTTTGAAAGAAACATCGATATTTACATTTTGCTTGTAATGGGGCAATGAGTCCTTTTTTTTTTTTTTTTTTTTTTCTCACAGTAGGGCTCCTAGAACTTTCAGCCATCACATCCAGTTTCAGCAAACCCTTCTTTAGTTGTCTTTTACAACATGCTTGGTGATGAGGCAGTGGATGTATTCAGTTTTGCCTCACAATAGGGCCCCAGAACCCACAAGGGGGTTGTTGCCTGTCTTACTTTGGGTATGTAGAGTCTTGGTGGCTGTAACGGATCAGTAGCTGGCAAACTTGCTTGCCAACCAGGTGGTCATGTGTGCATGTCCATCTCCTTTGAAGTTGGGAATTCTTAAAAAATTAACCCTAATTCCCACATCAACCCAGTTTAAAATAGGTGACATGGAAATGTTAAGGAAAATATGGGCAGCTAGTATGATATTGCTCACCTCACCTGGAAAGATTAATGGAAAGATAGAGGAAGAAAACAAGAAGTACAGAAGAAAAAAGCAAGAGTAAATTCTGAATAGTTGTTTCTTAATTATCATCTTCATTTCCATGCTATAAGTGTGTGATCATGATTCACAAATTCATATTATCAGCAGTTTTGGATTAAGTCTGTGCTTTGGACTTGATTATGTCATATGCATTTATTTCTGTTTATGTTATGGAAATTTATTTATGTTTTCCCATTGTTCTTTCTCCATCAAGTTTGTATAAAGGCTGTGTATGGCTTTGTGGCTTAGACATCCCATTGCAGTTCTTGACTCTTACGAGTGTTCAATTCCTGTGATAGGCAGTTTAGAAAAATATTCTTCTTATGACTTTCAGACGGTAGTATAAGATTCACACTGTTATATTCTCATATAATATCCTCATACCAGCAGTGGATATATTGGAGCTTACCTCCCTGTGGAGACAGCATCTTTTTCGGTTGGGGGGGGGGGGGGGAATACAGTATAAAATGCAAAATGCACACACAAAAGTATGCATTCTAGAAGAAATTATCAGATGTGAAGAAGCATTGTTCATACTGCGCTAGCATGAAACTAGATGATGATGATAATGTATTTTTCTATTTTAATCTTTCTTTTAATTGTTCTCTTTATTTGAAGAGAGGGAGGGGCATCAGCAGATGTAAATACATCAAGACCCAAAACTGCACCACCAAGAACCAGTAGCCCACAGCATGAGAGTCACATAGACAGCAGGTATGTTTCTTCTTCTTCTTGTGTGTTCTTGTGTTCTTCCTTAAAAGATAGAATCCCTGTGTGAATTCTGAGGTTCCATTGAGGGAGGGGGGAGAGAACCAGTGCTCCCCCTGGCGTAAAAGTCAACTAATCAGGGGCGTTTCCTTCTAATCGGAGTACATCTGTGTGAGGCGTGGAACCAGCAGTTTGCATACAGATAAGCTATATCTGTAAAACAGATGTACATACAAAACTCAAGTTCCGGAACAAGACTAAAATCCAGAAGTGGACAAACAGCCAGAACTTTCCACCACAGTTTACAGCCACTGAAAGGAAAAAGAACATGGAGAAAAATCTGTGTAAATGGGGATTTAAACACATAACCCCTAGGCAGGCAAGCAACACTTTAACCACTAAACATTTTGTCATCATCATCAGTTACCTAGCTGCTTCTTCTTCTAACTGTGTGATCCATTTGTGTGCTGACACCTCTTTACTTGGCTTGTAGTTACATGATGAACTTGTCTTGCTCTTTTCCCTCTCCTCTAATTGTGTGTTCCATTTGTCTGCTGATACCTTTTTAACTTGGGCTTGTAGGTATATGATGTTATGGTCTTTTAACTTGGGGAGTCAACCATATGATTAGGTTGTCCGTATCTGTCTTGTCATCTGTAGCTACATTATGATCTTATATTATTTTGGTTTAACCAGGCACATGTTGACCAGGTTTGGTGAAGTTTGGAACAATCAGTGGGCTGTCTCATAGGGATTTATCTCCAGATTTTTACCCTTGTAGACAAATATATCACGTCTCTCTGTACATAAATCTTGTGGAGGAAGCATTACCAATAACAGTAAATCTGATCTAGTCAATTTGTGTCTTTATGAATAACCAACTAATGACATTCCAATATGCCTATGAAGTTGCTGATCTGGTCTTGTATTTTAGCCAGTGTCTAAGCAACAGAGATGTGGTTTCTGAGAAGAATGTTACGAATACCTTGGACTGCCAAAGTAACTAACAATTGCTTGAAAGAAGCTAATGAAAGTAGATCTCTATATACAATAAGATGGAGACAAACAACTGTAACTGAGAAGAGAGTCATTTGAAAACATCGTGACAACTGGAAANCTTCTTCTTGTGTTTTCTTGTGTTCTTCTTAAAAAAATAGAACCCGTGGAATTCTGGGGTTCCTTTGGGGGAGGGGGAGAACCGTGCTCCCCTGGGTAAAGTAAACTAATGGGGCTTTTCCTTTAGGGAGAAAATTGTGTGAGCGTGGACCGCGTTTGCATCAGTAAGCTTATCTTTAAAACAGATTACTAAAAAACTAAAGTTCCGGAACAAGACTAAATCCAAAGTGGAAAAACGCCAAACTTTCCCCAAAGTTTACACCACAAAAGGAAAAAGAACAGGAGAAAAATCTGTGTAAAGGGGATTTAAACCAAAAACCCCTAGGCCAAGCACATTTTTAACCCACTAAACATTTGTCACTCATCTTACCTATTTGCTTCTTCTTCTAATTTTTATCCATTTTTGTGCTGACCCCTCTTACTTGGTTTGTGTTACATGAAAACTTGTTTTGCTCTTTCCCCTCCTCAAATTTTTGGTTCCTTTGTCTGCATATTTTTTAACTTGGTTTGTGGGTATATGATGTTATGGTCTTTTAACGGGGGAGTCAACATATGATTAGGTTGTCCGACTGTCTTGTCATCTGTACTACTTAATCTTATATTTTTTTGGGTTTTAAACCGGCACATTTTGACCGGGTTTGGGTCTTGTATTTTAGCCAGTGTCTAAGCAACAGAGATGTGGTTTCTGAGAAGAATGTTACGAATACCTTGGACTGCCAAAGTAACTAACAATTGCTTGAAAGAAGCTAATGAAAGTAGATCTCTATATACAATAAGATGGAGACAAACACTGTAATGAGAAGAGAGGCATTGGAAAACATCGTGACAACTGGAAAGATCAGTGGACTGGTTATAGGCAGACCAAGAGACAGAAGATGCTGGATGGGCTGAAATGATGGCATGGTGGTATATCATCAGGAGAGCTGTTCCAGGCAACCAGGGATTGTGATCTGTGGAGACGCATGAGCGCCTATGCCAACTGGCAAGGCACATGATGATGATAATGTCTAAGCTTGAGAACTCTGCAAGTTTGTGTGAAAATGGTTCTTTCATTCAGAGTCAGGAAGAAAGTCTTTTAAACTTCACTTGATTAGATGAAAGCCTATCAGTGGCTTCAGGAAATCACAACAGGCTGTATGCACTCTGAATAATAAAAAAAAATCCACTTAACCTCCTTCACCTAGATCTAAGCACCTGATCACACCAGCATAAAAGGTAATGAACGAGCAGACCAGCTGGCAAGCAGTGCTACCAAGGCATGTGGTAAGAAGCATGAGCATAGTAGATACAATGAGTGCTGTACAGACTGGGCTAATGGATAATGACGGATACTGACACTAACACGATTGCGTCACCTGGGAGTCAAATATGGTGAAGCACGTCTGTGCTGCCATCAAGGCCGAAATAGGATACATTATAACCAATTTCTCATGGGAACAATTAGTAGAAATACCTTGGAGTGGCTCCTGCATCGGGGGGCTGAACACACATGGAAATGCCCATCAGTTGCTTATATAAGAGTTTGATTTGAGGGCAGAAACTCAGTTTGGCTTAAGGGTTAAAACTGGGTTTTACTTGAGGGTTACAACTCAGTCTTCTAGATAATTGACAATCAGCCAAGTAAGTGGATGGGTGCACTGTGTGCAATAACTATATCCATAGATAACACAAGCACAATGAAAACTATTGAGTTTTCCAAAAAAATATATGAAACATTAGTTGTCACTTGTGTGTTCCATAGGAACTGCTAATTTTTCCGGAGTTAGAAAAACTATACAACTGTCTCATTTTTTTTGTTAGGTTATGATAATTGGCCTCACTGCATTTTTTGGATATTCCCATGCATGCTGAGTCCTCCAATAAAGAAGTCACCCCACAGTGCCTTTACTGGTTATTCTCATGAGAATAGGTTACAATGTTTCCAGTCTTGACCTTGAATACCACATCGACATGCATCCGTCAAGAATTTATTTTTTCTTGTTATGGATTGTAACTAAAAAGAGTGTAAAGTAACTTATTGGGTATAAGGTAACTGGTAGCTCTACTTAATAACACATATGTTAGGTAACTTCTTGGTAAGAAAGGTATAGGGTAAGTGGTAGCTCTACTTAACACATATGTTAGGTAACTTCTTAGTAACAAAGCTATAGGGTAACTGGTAACACTGTTTAGTAACACATTTTTAAGATAAGAGTTTGCATATTTTAAGGCACAGCGATATACAGATGAGATAGGGTTTTTCTTGCCATGTGGATACCTTGATATAGAAGAGGATTATGATCATGACATTTGTATCCTATTTGTAGAGCTTGGAAGCCACTGCCAGGTCACTCTCACATTTCCCCTATAAGACCTGATGCAAACAGGTAGCTATTCTTGACTGTTTGCACGCTGTATTATGCTTGACTGTATGCTGTACTCATCTTGACTGTTTGCATGCTGTATTATTCTTCAGTGTTTGTATTCTGTATTGATCTTGTCTGTTTGTAGGCTATATTGTTGCAACTAGTGATGTCAACTAAAAATGTGTCACCATCACTTATGAAACAAAGCTGTGTGGTACACAAGGAGATATGAAGTGCTACCCACCTCCTGATATAAGTTTCCTGACAGATGGATCGACGAGGAAAAAGAAGAGGAATTACGATGGAGGAATAACAACAAAAAACATGCTGAATTATAACCTGATTGCATTCTACCATACTTTGTAGCAGATGTAAAGTTCCAGTGAGGCTCTTTCGCACTGCAAAACCTTCTGAGATTGGAGAGGGGAAGTAGAGTTCTGTAATAGTCCCCACAGATATAGTTTGACAGTACCAGGTCAAAAGTAAAGTCTTCACACAAACTTCACTCTGCCAGATGTCAGCCCTTTTCAGGACTCTTTGATTTTTTCCTAATGGCCTGAATACCCTGGATTAGCTGAATTTTGATGTTTTGGGCAGAGAGGTTCATAAATCACAGCCTAGCTGTAAACCACAAAACAGTGTGCCAACCGGTCTTTTAAGAGTGAACACAGAAGAAGAAGAATCTTAGAAACCGCATCTCTGCTGCCTCCAAGTTCCTAATTTGTTAATTCACTGGGATGTAGAACAGCTGAACCATACACAGTGGTGCACCAAGGCCAGTGCTGAAACTTGGTCAAACCAATCTGCACCTCTCCACAGTTGTCCTAGAAACAGGTTCCCAACCAGGAGCCTGGCCAGCGTAGATAGGATTGACGTTTACTTTTAAATCAGAGCGCATCTGCCTGAGAGGCAAAGAAACAACAGTCTGCACACAAATAAGTCAAATCTGTAAAAACTGATATGCATGCAGCAAACTGGTCCTGGAACAAAACTAGTCCAAAAGTGGACGAACAACTAGGACTTTCTGCTGGAGTGTACAGCTGGAATGTGAAGAAGAACACACAGTTTATTCAATGAACTCTTTCTGGCCGAAACAGTGTACCATGTGTCATAGAGATTTATTCTGTGTACCAGGTATTGCTAGTCTGTGTGTCAGTTATTGCATGTTATGAATTAATCGAGTAACATTAAATGTATTGATCGGCACTCATAGAAAGAAGTAGAAAGATAGAAGAACACACTAGACAACATAAAAATCGAAAGCTATAGTTACCGTGCTGGGAATTGAACCTGTCACCTCCAGACGGCGTCTGTGCCTCGCCATGAATACAAGTGCAGTAAAAAACATGGTCAACTAGGCACCCCCAAAAAAAGGTGTCTTATTGGCCATGTCTATCGTACAGCTTGAAATCCACAACTATGGAATACGGACAGAATTCATTTAAACCCATTGAAATGGCACCATAGGTTACAGAAATTTATATTAGCGAAGCAAATGTTGAATAACAATCACAACAACAATTTACGAACACAGTAAGACCTTATTGCTTTGTCTAGAATACACAAACATTTAAGAAAGGTATTTGATTGGTAGGTTCCTTTGTGTGTACGTCATTCCTATAAATAAACAGAGGGGAAACCTTTGAGGCCGTTAAATATTATGAATTAATCGAGTAACATTAAGTGTATTGATTGGCACTCTTAGAAAGAAGTAGAAAGATAGAAGAACACACTAGACAACATAAAAATCGAAATCTATAGTTACCATGCCGGAAATTGAACCTGTCACCTCCAGACGGCGTCTGGGCTTTCGATTTTTATGTTGTCTAGTGTGTTCTTCTATCTTTCTACTTCTTTCTATGAGTGCCGATCAATACACTTAATGTTACTCGATTAATTTATAATATTTAACGGCCTCAAAGGTTCCCCCTCTGTTTATTTACAGTTATTGCATGGCATGTTGTATCTGTTGGATTTGGTCTAACCATAGTAAAGAAATCTGACTAGATATGTTAACACACAGTGTTTGTTGCACCTTTAGAAGTAATACACTCATCCCTTTTTTTTTTGGACCTGAAAAAAATAATAGTTGGATTCAGAACTTATAGCTTGTGTAACAAGTAAGGACTGTGCTGATGCAGCTAATGGATATATTGGATGAGCAAACTAGTGACTCTTCCTTGTAGATAATTGGAAGTTTAACTTATCTCATTATCTTTCTTTCATTTTGTTTGCAGACCAGAAAGGGGACCACCAGATATAGGTAAAGACCGACAGCTGATCCAGCCCAAACGTATTGTAGCTATGCCTAACAGGTCTGGTAATGCCCTCGTGGGAAACAACACAGACACTCAGAAAAAGGGTAAGGTATTTGAGTATTCTTTTTCTTAATGTGTAAGGAAATTGCTAGCCTATGTGGTCACAGTGTAGAAATAAGTCGTGTAGCAATTAGTCATTGTAGCAGTGTGTCAGTGCAGCAGTGTGTAGTAGAACAGGTTGAGTTATTGTAAATGGTCAGGCACTCAGTATGGCCCTGAAATAGAGGTTAGACCTAGGAGAAAGAAACCAGTTACATAAGTCTGTCAACCTATTGTTGAACTTAGCTGTCATCATGGTCTGCTGAAGACTAGAACTATGCCAGTGTTCTCTTTTGCTGCACACATTCTTATGTATAATATCTACAATAGCATCTATAATACCTACTTGCTTCTATCATTTAGCAACCCTGACTTAGGAAAGGATAAGCCAATGACCAATGAATTGATTGATGAATGCACTAACCACTTTGTGGTCCCTGTATTTCCATCAAGAAAGACAATAAAGAAGTTAATGAATTACTTCTATATAATAACGTACCTTAATTCATCCAACCTAAAATAATTACCAGAAAATGTGCTGAGAAGTAAAGATAGCCAGCCTGATGACCACATTACTTACCGAGTGTCAACTGGTTTCTAAAATATTGGTCTGATTGATCAAAAGAAATATGAGTAGTAGCAAATGCCCGATGTACCAGTGGCTTAACATAATCCTTTAAATAATGCGGACACAAACAGTACATTGCACAATTTATTGCCAGGCATATTTTGTCGTATCTTGTCAGATACAATACTAGAGTTACACTAACAAAATGAAGAAAGAAAAAACAGAATTAATTCCATTGAAATACAAATGGTCTCTCTTGATACACTGTGTTCATCCATTCACTAGAAGTTCACGATAGTCACCTGACCTACCAGGGTAACTTCAGATTTATAATGTATTCCTTCTGTTTACATAAAAGTGGGTTGTTCATGTTTCTGGTTAAAGCTTTGGAAAATCCCAGCATTGACCTGTTCAGTGTGTAGTAAATCACAAAGAAAGCACTGTCCTTGTCAATTACACGTCCAGAATCATGCAAATAATATCCTATAGAAGATTTGGGATCTTCCTCTTGGTAGGTTTTGACACCCTTGTGGAACAACTCAGCTGTGCATGGCATATGTTTTGCCACTCTGTTTTCAAGTAGTCTCTCCATTCGACCAATGTAAGTCAACTGGGACTTGCATGTAAATTAATAAGTACAAGTGGATTTGGTGTATTTTGTCGCCTCTTACGACATGCCTGGTAGGGTTCAGTGTCACTATTCTTTGCTTCCCGTGAGGGCCCCGGTGACACATGAGCGCAACTGGAACTTTCGTGTAAATTAATAAGTACAAGTGTATTTTGTGTATTTTGACACTAGATTTTATATAGGTGGGTTTGGGGTGGAAGTGGTAGTGTACCTCACCACTGGAACAACGGCAAAGAGTTTGGCCAACATCTTTGTTCCTTTTTTTTTTCATGTTGACTTTCTACATAATAAAAAAAAGGTGTCTGCTCTTATGTTTCAGGCTCTCTGAAACTGAGTGTTGTGACAAACAAACCTGGGCTGAAATCAAAACCTGCACTCAACAAAGCAAAAAATCGACCTCTCAAGTCATGGAAGTAATGCTGACATTGTATGCGAGACAGAAAGACTAGTACATGTCTGGCACTCACAACCTTTACAACATATAAACTCTGGTGACTTCCCTCAATGTGTTTATTGTTTTGCCAACATCATCTCACTCAGGGTCACATCCTTATTGGTCAAACACACTCAGTTCTTCTTCTCTGTTCGCCCTTAAAAAGGCAGTTGGCACATTGTGTTAGTGGTTACAACTAGGCTCTATTGTCTGCACCTTTTGGCCCAACACATCTGATTTCAGCAGAAACTTAACTAGTCACCTTTTATAACATTCTTAAGAAGCGGCGGGTCTATTCCCCCCCCCCCCCCCCCCCCCCCAAAAAAAATAGGCCCTAGAACCCGCACTCAGTGAATAGCAAAGTTCTGTCGATAATTGTATGCACCTTATATGTGCTTGTGTTCTCATAGAAAAGGAAACTGAATCATTTGTATTTTCATGTTGGTTTTATACATTCTCAGGCGCTTGACTACATTGTTTAGTATTTCAGTGCATCTGAAATTCTGTTTTTTTTTTTTTTTTACATCGTTCATCAGTGACATAAATGTGTTGTGCCTGTATTTATGCCTTTCGGCTGACACATTCCACTTCATTGGGCATTTATCCAGGTTAGCCTTCCTGGAAACTGAATTCAGTGCACTATATTTATATATATGATTCTTTTGTGAAAATATTTGTGACAGACAAGAATCACGAATAAAGTCTGTGTTCTTGTCCAGCCCCTGCCGTTTGGTCAAGTCATTCTCACTTTGTCATCTTCTTACTCATTTTCCCATAAAGTTTGCCAGTTGTCTAGAAAATCATTCCAGCCATTTTATTGCTTTGGTCACTGCCATGACCTCCATAGACTACTTGTGGCCAAGGACCTTCCATCTGCCTCATGGTGAACTGCCTCATCATTTATTAGTCCATGATATGCTTGACATTTTTCTGAGAAAAACCACATTTCTGCGGGCATTGAAGGTTCTTCAGCTTGTATGTAGGCTTGTTGACACTTGACTGTCAGCCTGAAGATCTGAAATTCAAATCTGCATCAACGTGGATATTTTCAAAATTGACTTTGGTTGCCTGGTCGACCCTGGCTGAAATGGGTACCAGGCAATGTCCTGGAAAGTAGAGGACGTCCTGATATTGACCTCACCACCCATCCAGAGTCACATGGTCTATAACCAATATATAGGTTTGGCACTGTATGCTTAGAGCACCTGTACTCCACTTTTTTTTTTTTTTTCAAGCAACTGAAATGGGCAATCTTGGCACCAGATTTTCGTGTGCATTGTGGGCAGGGGGGTTTGGGCCACTTCGGTTAAAGAATCAGATTCAGTGTCTTCTTCTCATTGTGTGTGTGTTGTGAACTGCTGTTCTGGTCACTTCAATGTAACACATACTGACTGGCTAATACTGGGCCTTGGTTGGTACAGTGTTTCCTCCAGGGTTTTCATTGTCAACAGACTCCAAACTAATGCCCAGAGGAAGTAGTGGTTTAATGAAAGAAACTGTTAATGGAAGATGAGATAGGAGTAAACCAGGATGACTGGGTGGGGAAGAACCAGAGGGCATTACAGACATGATATGGTATTGGGAGATGAGAAATCAGTAGAGAGTAAGTGTCTTTCAGACAAGCAGTGAAAAGTGGGTTGGTCTCAAGGACATATTGAGAATTTATATTTATGTGTACTTTTGTGCATTTGAGTTGAACACACAAAAAGAGAACATGTTGTAGTTTTGTTGGGGACCAAGAAAGAAAAGGTCATTTGTCCAGGCAGCGGTCAGACAGTGATGGCTTTGAAAAGGTCATTTGTCCAGGCAGCTGTCACACAGTGATGGCTTTGAAAAGGTCATTTGTCCAGGCAGCTGTCACACAGTGATGGCTTTGAAAAGGTCATTTGTCCAGGCAGCTGTCACACAGTGATGGCTTTGAAAAGGTCATTTGTCCAGGCAGCTGTCACACAGTGATGGCTTTGAAAAGGTCATTTGTCCAGGCAGCTGTCACACAGTGATGGCTTTGAAAAGGTCATTGGTCCAAGCAGCGGTCAGACAGTGATGGCTTTGAAAAGGCAACTGTCAGACAGTATAAGGCTGTGAAAAGGTCATTTGTCCAGGCAGCTGTCACACAGTGATGGCTTTGAAAAAGTAATTTGTCCAGGCAGCTGTCACACAGTGATGGCTTTGAAAAAGTCATTTGTCCAGGCAGCTGTCAGACAGTGATGGCTTTGAAAAGGTTATTTGTCCAGGCAGTGATGGCTTTGAAAAGGTCATTTGTCCAGGCAGCGGTCAGACAGTGATGGCTTTGAAAAGGTCATTTGTCCAGGCAGCTGTCAGTGTAAGGGTGTTGCACCTCCAAAATAAATCTCTTGCAGAGATGAGACCGTGTGCCTCCTTGTGTGAAAGACGAACATTGTTTTCTTACCATTAACTCTTCAAGAAATTGCCATGCTTAAATTATCAGATGTTGTGATTTATATTTTACAAGAGTTTTGTAATAAACACATTTATTATAATTTGTGTTGTTGTCATCCTTGTTTTGGTCATCCATTTTGTTGTAGCATAGAAATGGAACAGAATTCTCAGACTAATTTCATAATGATGTAGCCCAAACATTTGCCAGTGTTAATATGGTTTACTGTCTCGTAAATCATGTTTATTTCAGTATATCTAGTTAACAGTCTGGGAAAAAAACAGTGTAACTTCTGCTGAAGAAGATAAATTTCCTGTTGCAGTTTCACAGTGATGACTTGGTTTTTGCAAACGTCTTACTTCTCGTAAAGCAAACAGAATATTGGCATGGTCCTTGCCATTTTTTGCTTTGGTCACTGCCATGACCTCCATAGTTAGACTACTTGTGGTCAAGATAACAGTACCAGAATCTTGTTTTACAGTTCTAACTCCAACCTGAGCTGTCAAAGCCCAAGATTTGTACTTACAAACGCTGATCAATTATAGACAGTATCATGTTTCTCTTATAACAACAACATTCATAATCTGTTTAAATCATTAATTACGGGCACCATGATGGCTAATAGACTGCAGTGGATGGGGGAATATAGAGAGAACGGCAGATTGCAGAGAGACAAAAACTATTTAGACAACAGAGTTGAATGGGAGTTGACCAGGAGGCAGACCAAAAAGTTGTGGAGAGATAACAATTGTTATGTATCCTTTACAGGATTAACCCCAGCATTTTTTGGCTGTTGTGGTTTTTCTAGGCAAATTTTATGCTCCATAGTTTGGCACTGCTTTCTGAATGGTCAGCCCTCGGTACCACTGTCAAAACCAACACAAGATTCTGCAGCTGGGATCGAATCCGGCATTCCGAAGCATGTTCGCAAATCCTAAGCCAGAGACGCTGGCAAAGTATACAGACAGACCTATAAACTAACCAGAAAGAGAATGCTAACCACAAAAGTTTTTGACTGGAGGTGGACAATATCTGTAGCAATGAACATCAAGTTATCAGAATGCTGAAGAAGAAGATCATGTTTCTCTTGATCAACCTGTCTTCACCCTAGAGGCCACCCGGTTAGTCTTTTTCATTTTCATGTACACTATCATGTCCTGGACAGTAGAGCCACCATAGCTCTACCAGGTGTATGTCAACCACTCATGCAGCATATATATCCAGATGACATTTAGAAGCTTTTCCTGGCATACAATATTACTCGTAAATTCTTCTACTCATCAGAATCCTCTGTTAGCTTCTTTGTTTATAAAGTGCTACTTCCACATCTTCAACAGCCAGCGAAAAGTTCCAGTTCTGAAGGTACGAGGGCAGTTTGAAAGTGTGTCCTTTCTTTCTTTCCTTTAAATGTTGAGTACTGGCCAGATCCCCTGGTTACTGACCACTGTACTATTCTCGTCAGATGATAATGACAACAGTTGTAGACATGTTAGACCTTGCATCAATTTTATCTGACTGAATAAACAAACATTTCTCAGTACAGTTTGTAATCGAAACATCCATAGCAGTCAAAGTTGGTCCTCTGCCAGTTAGGTGTGATATGATAGGTCTTTTTAATATTCTAGGCCAAAATAATCAGAGGCAGGGAGACTAATTTACTTCCTCTCCACATTTTCTTCCCTGAAAATTGCCTAGCACTCATCTTAAAAGGCTAGGTACAGAATGGTTGGAAAACATTCTACCACTATCAGGAACTGAAAAGAGACCACTAGGAAAGCCAACCCAGGCAACAAATTTCTGCAGATGGAGGATGTATTGGCATAAAGGTGCAAATATAACAGCTATCTTGTAAACGGGCACAGCGCATTTTATTTTTAGATAAATGCAAAAGAAGAACTGAGATCGCTATCTTCACAAGTGTTCGATCATCTCTATGCCACTACAGTTTCAAGCATATAAAGTGTACTAAATAAAACCAATTCTTAAAGAAAGTTCACAGAATTCACACAAAGATACCATCACAGTTTATAGCATTTAATGTGTATTAAATAAAACAATTACTCAGAGAAAATTCACAGAATTCACACAAAGAAAACAAAGCACATTAAGTATATAAAAAAGTCTTAACAAATTACTTCACAGAATAGAAAGATAGTATTTCCGCTGCTGTTCTTCCTCGGCTTTGATACGTAACTGTGACATGGTTTCAATCATTGTATCAGCAATCTCGTCGGCCTGCTCTCGGGTAGAGATGGTTTTCATCATGCTGCATAAGTCATCAATAGCTGAAGCTGACAGCACATTCTCTGCTGCTATTGAATGCACATCTGCTTGCACACTGCGATAGGGCTGGATGCTGCAGTGAATTCTCAGTATATCACTTATCTGGAGAAACAACATTAATGTAATTGTTTTCCAGCCATTTTGTATTTGCACAGAAATGTATTTTAAATATATGAACAGTGCAATCTAGTGCAGCCAGAACATCTGACAATGCTACACAGGAAAATTTCTGAAGTGAAAGAAATAGGTCACCCTAGGATAAGATTGACTCATTCAAGAGTTTCTACATCGAAACGGAATGACAATATCTGTTGCTGCCTATTGAGCAATGGATCACAAACTGTTCCTAACTACAACACTTAATGGCAGAAGTAAAAATTTATAATGATCATTCAGCATGAAGTGAAGAAGAAGAAGAAGATTCAGCATGATGACCATCTAGTGGAAACAAAGAACTGCAGTCTATTAACACAGTATACTATCTAATGGAGACATGGAACTGCAGCACACTGATATTGTATATAATTTAATAAAGACAAGAAACTACAAAAGACTAAGACAGCAAACTAATAAAGTATACAATTTAATGAAGACAAGGAACTACAACAGACTAATATAATAAACAATTTAATGAAGGTGAAAAACATCAAAAGAATAGCACAGTGTATTACTATAATTTAATGCAGACAAAGAAATAAGCAGATTATCATAGTATATGTGTAGACAGATTAATAGTATACCATTTAATAAAGACAAAGAACTACAACAGACCAATACTGCATGCAATTTAATGAAGAAGAGAAATTACAAGTGATTAACATAGTGTACATCTGATGAAGACCCAAAAAAACTATGACAGACTAACAAACATACAATTTGATCAAGATAAAGAACTACAACAGACTATAACAAAGCATACTATTTAATAAAAATAAGGAACTTCAGCACATTAAAACAAAAGTAGTATAAGAACTAGAAACAAGTATGCTGTCTTCAGAAATCAGAAATGTGGTATCTTGATTATGTAGCAGGTCCTTTGCAGAACGGTGCTCTCATCATGGTCTGCCTGAAAGAAACTCAGTCTCTCACCAGCTCTCCCGCATCATAAACTTTCATATTCAAGGAGTCACTTATATCCTGTGCTCATCTTCGTGTTGGTCAACCCCTGCCTCTCCTTCTTGGTACCATGCCTTCTGCTATTATTTACTCCAATCCGCCATGGCGCTTGATATGACCAAAATATGTCAGCTCCCAAGATATGATGCTGTTTATTAGCCAATCTTCCTTGAAATGTGGTATAGGTTTCCCAAAAGTCAGAGGTCAGGATGACATCCCTACTGAACTATTTGAAACTGCAGATGAAGTCATAATAGCATTAGACAATCTATTCAGGATTAAACACAACTGCCTGGCGAAATAGACAATACAATCTAGTCTAAGACTTCATGAAATGAAAATACTTTTGGAAGAAACTATACAATCCAGTCTGGATTTGTAAACGAACAATTCTTTCTGAAGAAACTATACAATCTAGTCTGGATTTGTATAAGAACAATTCTTTCTGAAGAATCTATACAATCTTGTCCGGATTTGTAAAAGTAAAATTCTTTATGAAGAATCAATACAATCTTGTCCCCATTTGTAAAGGTACAATTCTTACTGAAGAATCTATACAATCTTGTCCGGATTTGTAAATGTAAAATTCTTTGGAGGAAACTATACAATCTAGTCTGAATTCGTAAAACCAAAATTCTTTCTGAAGAATCTATACAACCTTGTCTGGATTTGTAAAAGTACAATTCTTTCTTAAGAATCTATACAATCTTGTCTGGATTTGTACATTTCTTTTAGAAGAAACTATACAATCTGGTCTGGATTTGTAAAAGTACCTTTCTAAAGAATCTATACAATCTTGTCTGGATTTGTAAATGTAAAATTCTTTATGAAGAATCTATACAATCTTGTCCGGATTTGTACATTTCTTTTAGAAGAAACTATGCAATCTAGTATGTATTTGTAAAAGTAAAATTCTTTTTGAAGAATCTATACAATCTTGTCCGGGATTCTTTACTTGCCGCTGAAGATGGAGACCAAGCACTTAAGGGAGTGTCCGAGTGCTATGATTTTGATTCTTAATTCAATATTTAATTCTTTCAGAAGAAACTATACAAGCTAGTCCAGACTTGTAAAAGTACAATTCTTTCAGAAGAAACTACAATCTTGTCTGGATTCTTCTTCTTTTTCTTTTGTTGTCTCACCGAAACCAGGTTGTAGCCCAGTGTCCTGGTTTTCTGTATTTGTGTATTTGCTTCTTGGGTGGCCTGAGCAATAGATTTGTTCCTATTTTTCAGCTACGCCATTCATCCATCTCTTTGTTGGTCTTCCTCTCGCCTTCCTCCAAGATGTTCTACTGTAATCTTGTCTGGATTAAACAAATCAAAATAGCTTGTCTGCATAGACGTTACACTCTTTCTATTCTTGGATGAAACAAGCTCAGAAACCTACTAGTTAGTGTACAACCTACCATTTGACATTCACTGATGAGTTTGTCCGTAGATATACTCCTATCTCGTCTGAGTGTCCCCAGTCTTGACTGAACAATGCACAGTGGTGTCCGACCAACCCCGTCCTTCAGATTGATGTTAGCACCTGATTCAGATAAATATTATATGTACATGTGACCATTTTGTATAGGTTTATGTGAGTCTTTATGTTTTCACTTACCTAGTTTGTATGTATGTGTGTATTTGTTTATTAGCATCTGAATCAAATATACATGTGAGTGTGCTTGTGTGTGTGTGCATGCGTGTATGACACACACACACGCACATTTACATACGTACATGCACACATAAAAAGCCCTTCTTGTGACCGCGCTGATGTGTGCATGCGGTCTTATGTGACAATATGTTGTTTGTAAGTAATTGTGTGTGCTGGCACCTGATTTAAATATATATTACATGTAATCACCATCATGTGCCGTGCTGATAAGTGCACATCAATCTTGCCAGCTGTTACTAAGTTCTGGAGTCCATTATTACATGTACTAGATTTGGGGGGTAGTCGAAGAAGGAGATGGGGAATGGGGGGGGGGGGGTAAAGAAGAACGAGATAGGACTAAATTACTATACACTTGTCCAAAAGGTGGAAGACAGAGAAAGATGGCAGGTTTCGTGCGCTAGTCTTTCCATCTAACGGGTCAATGGTTATGTGTGTATGTATGTACTAGTGATCATAATGGCATGTCCATGACCATGCCTCCCCACAAAATGGCTACCAGAGATTTATTTGTCTGGGAAAGGAAAACTTTGCACCCCACCACGCAGTAACTTAGTATATGTGAAGTGGCTTCACTTTTAACATCTATGATAATATATATAAAGGGCTACCTTTGCTGAGATGACATAGTCATGACAACTCAACCTGAAGTTAAGTTTTACACTCAATAAACTTACCATTTCTTAATAAAATGTTCACTACACGAGTGTCACCCCGACATGCAGCTGAAATAAAAACAGCAAACTCATCAATTAAGTTAAGCATGAAACTACTTTAGCATGAAACTACTGCAAAGTAAATTATACCAAAGAAGAAAGAAATGAAAGCAGAGTTCTTACATAATAAGTGAGAAGTTATTTTTTTCACTACAGTTGCTGGCCTGAGCTTTTCGCACCGTGCAACATCTCTTTCAAGCAGATCTTGGTGCTGTCTGTACAGTTCTCTAGCGAGGTGCTTGGTGCTCTGACACTTCAGTCTGTTTTTTTTTGGTTCTCTCTTTAAATTTAAAATGCAGTGGGTGACTTTGAACTGTTACAGTACATTTCAGTTTATCTTTTCTGATAATATGGTGCTGTGATCAGCTACCATCTATTTTATCCATTAATCTTACTGACAACTGCAGCATGTTTTTTTTTAAATCTTATCTCATGACATTAAGTCAGTCTAGATTATCAACACTGCATGTCAGTTATGCCCCTCAGGATTCCAACCTCCTCTGTAATAAATGCATCAGTATATAGCACCAGTGAAAGTTGTAGAAATAATAAAGACATAGAACAAAAGTTAAATGCATCTGAAAGTTAATTCTTGAGAAAAATAATAATATTGAATGAATTCAAGAGAGGTGAAGAAAAATGTCAGGGCAACCATTGGTAACAGCAGGTATTAGATAAAGAAGATGGTGCTATATTGGACACATGAGAAGAAACGAGCAGAGAATCACCAAACAGGCACTTAAATGGGAAATAATGTGACAGAGGAGGCAAGAATGTCAACAAGAAACCTTAAAACGAACATTGACAAAAGCCCAAAGGTGCAGGACCAGATTCCACCCAGGATATCAAAGTGACTGCACAGGATAGAATGGAATGTTGGGCTAGACTGCGAGTCCTATCTGACATATAATGGCACAACAGAATAATGATGATAATAGAGCAGACTGATAACAGATAAGTCTCCTCACATGTTTTGCACACTGTTTTTTTTTTTTTTTGCTAAGCCATTCTGCAATCCAAATGCAAAACTTAAGACCTTAAGAGCATGTGGCAAGCAGCTTCACCACCTTGCCAAAGAGATCCCTAAACTGTACTATCATCATGGTGACAAAAGGCACCGGAAATCCATGCAGCCAACCTCATGGTGACGAATTTTATCTGGATTGTTGCTGACCCCAGTGCAGTTAAATGTAGCTCTCTGAGGTGGATCTAAGTGAATGAATTGTCATACATGAACTCATACATTCATGTGCTGCGAATTGAGATCATTCTTACCCAGGTGAAGTGGGGTGTTTTCCAAAATATCCTTCCTGTTTGGGTCAGCTCTCCATGACAGCAAATGACTTGCTGTAACGAAATATTTAACAACTGAAACAAACTGCCCACTGCCTTGTATATAACTGTAAGTAAATGTAAGTACTTCAGCAAAATAAATGTTAGCTTTAATCACAATAATTTAAATGTCAAATATACTGTTAAAAATCATGTAATGCAAAAACAAAAATTAAAACACCGCTGATAAATCAAATCTGTGATATTTACAATAAAGACACATTGTACCACAGTTTGTATTACAAAGAAATCAACTAAAAACATTTACATAAAATAAGCTATATATTTTAAATTATGGCATACAAGTCAACATCAAGACTGTTAGCTCGATTTCTGAGCTGGTCTATACCCACCTACTGCATTTATATCTGCTAAATATCTACCATTCATTTTGGAAAGTTTTTTATTTAAGATTTAAAAATTTAATTACGCAATGCAATTTATAGGAACTGTATAAACTAAATGTAGTAAAAGAACACTGAAATTACTTAGAATGGAATCAAATATAAATTACAAATGAATTAATAAGGTGCCACATTATAAAACGGGACCATGGCCGCAAAGTAGCTAGCAGCTTCCTGCTGGCCAGAAAGTTCTTTGGTGGTTTGAATCCACACTGAGAGGAATTTCTATAAAGCATTCATCTTGGCTCCTAAGTCACCTAAGCCTAGAAAGGTTAGCAGGTAACGTCCTGGAAAGTGAAGATTGCTGACGCTGACCACCTCTACACACCCCCCCCCCCCCCCACATCCAGCGTTGATTGGTCTATAAAAGAAATATGGGTCTAGCACCATGTGACTATGTTCCAATGGAGTCAAAGAAGACCTTTAATCCCTTTCTTTACTCTTAAAAAACATAAATAACATCCATTTACATTTAGCAGGCCCTTTGCTAAATTTCAATTTCATTTTGGTTTACGGAAGAGATGTTCAATCCTTTGCGAATTTCCCTGCCTCACGCACATCCCTACAGAATTATCTGAAACTGCAGATGAAGTCATAATAACAGGATGACGTAACTAGACAATCTATCAAGGTAATCAAGGTAAGGATCTCTAGCAGTGTTTGTCCTGAACCTTTGATGTATATTTTCCTAGACTGTATTCTGACAATAACTTTCCCAGTGTGGGTTCCTAGGTCTCACTGTGGGGGAAAAAAGAACAGACCCACTGTCCCCCAACAAGTATGTTGTAAAAGTCGATTAATTAGGGCTGTTTCCTTCGAAACTTGAGTGATTTGCTGAAGAGGTAAGCAACCAACAGTCTGCATAAAAATAAGCCATTTCTGTAAAACAGATGTGTACATAAAACTCAAATTCTGGAACAAGACTGGTCTGGTAGTCCTAGTTTCAGCTTCATAGCAAACGGGTCACCCCATCTTTGCTGGAACAAGACTAAAGTCCAGAAGTGGATAAACAACTAGAACTTTGCGCCAGAGTTTACAGCAAGTGAATGAGAAAATGAAAAAGCCCATAACTTCATGACATCTGTCTGTTTGTATCTTGTACGCCTTTTTCCATGAGAGTCTGAGATGTCACAAAAACATGCTTTTCAGTAAAAATGTTCCAAGGGGTCTAATATATTATGTCTGTAGCATGATGAAAAGTCACGTTTAAGATCAGGAAGTTGGGACACCTTGATGAGCAATTAAAATCTATGGCCGGGTGATTCAGTTACTTTTTCAGAAAATGTTGCTGCCATCACGTCCTCCTGCAACCTGACAGTTGTGGGAGCTGTAGGGGTATATATAGTGCAGATCTGATAAGGAGACCTCACGGGGGGATGCAAGAAATGGTTCTTTTTATCAGAAATTCCTCTTACCCAGACAAGAGTTCAAACAACAACAGAATCACTTGGGATAAACAAACAGTTCTTCACAACATAAATTTACCCCACCCAAGATCGCCTTAAGCAGTGTGCACTGTACAATGGCTTGCTGTGAGTCGGTTAAGATAGTGGAAAAGAAGACAGAAAACTAATTGACTGATATCTTTATTCTACACCCATCTCAACCTCTGCAACTCATCCTATGTGAGTTTCAAGGCTCTGTTTTTAGGGGGGGGGGGGGGGGGGGGGAGAATCAGACGCACTGAACTTAACAAGCAAGCCATAAACAGCTACTAATTAGGAGTCTGCTGAAATCTGACGGGTCCAGTTAAATGCGGTCTAGCTGTAAATTAAAAGTGCACTTTTAGGAGCAAACGCTAAAGAAGAAGAACCTCTGTCACTCACCTATATCACTTAAACCTTGGGATGCTGCTATGTGTAGGGGAGTCCTGCCTTTGCTGTCTGATACATTAGGATCAGCACCTTCTTCTAAGTAGTGCAACACTGAAAATAAAGATGTCAGATATAAAACCAAGAAAAAATAAATAAAAGTGAAATGATCTATTTTTATATTTAATAAAACAACAAATTAAAGGGTTATAGTAACGTTCTCCAGCCCAGAAAGAGAGTGACTTCCCTTCCCATACATGCCTTGTCGTGTTGCAGGGCCTTTCTATGTCATGCTTAGTGACTGTCCACCAACATGTTGTATTTTACTCATTGTCAGCGGCCAGTGATATCGCTTGTTCTATATGTCCCGATGTGAGTGCTTTTAACGGTCCGAAAACATGTTGAACTGGCCCTTACCCCAATACCCCTACCCCACAATCACAGCCTACGTTCTACGACTGCATGCAGCCTATGTCACACGATGCACTCTCTCGTGGGACATAGGCTGCACTCTGTCTGAGACATAGGCTGAGACTGTGGGTTAGGGGGCTGGAGTTAGGGCCGGTTTTACATTTTTGGGGACCGTTAAAAGCGCTCACATCGTTGATTATAGAACATATGATATCGCCGGCCGCTGACAATGAGTAAAATACTGCGTGTTGCTGGCCATTGCTAAATGTGACGCCCTGGCAACATAGGACAGGCCCTGCAACACGACGAGGCATAATGGGCAAGGGAAGTCACTCTCTTTCTGGGCCAAGATTTATCATCAAAAATAGCATAAAATACCCACTTGTTAAAAAAAAAAGAGCTACAATTCAGGAAGAAGCAAATATATTCACCAAAAGTTATTATATATATATATATATCAATTTTTTTAATGTGCTGAAGACAAAATGGTTTGATTTAAATAATCTTAAATCTAGTCCTCAGATAGTGAAAAGAATAAAACAGCAGTGCAGAGGCATTAAAAGGTAACCCTCCTCCCACTTTCCAAAAATAGCTGGTCCTTTCCTTTAAAAAGATTCATTGCAATAAGACTACAAAGAAAACAAAAACAAAAACTTTAATTTGTAATGCCAATAATGAAGCAGACATCGTTATTTACACTTGCACCTGGCAGCATCTGCAAGCAACCTGAAAGATCTTCTCTCTGTCCACAGTGATTATTATATTCATTTGCAAGAAAACTCCTTTTTTTTCCTTGTCACTAATTTAGGGTTTTCTTTGGATGCGTTCCTTTACTACACTAATTAAGTAAAGGTTTAAGGCAGGGGGATCATTGTAAGAATGGTGATTTACGGCCACATGGTTAGTGCAGCTGCCACAAACTGTGCAGGTTAAGAATTTATTTTTGCCTCAAGCAGAAAAAAATCCCATCATCTTACCAGAGATCTAACCTGGGTCTTCCAAATGTATTATAACTGTCTGGCCAGATGATCTTTGGTATTGCTGTATGGGCTAGAAATATAAAATAACATTCACTGCCTGGTTTCTGTGCAGTAGAGGACTAAAATGTTGTGAATTAATCACACCTTCACAACCTAGGGAGAGAACTAAACAAATTTTTGTGATCCAATAGATGAAGGGGAAATTACTGTAATGGACACAAGGAGAGAAATCATGAATATTCTTCTTCTTTTCGTTTGTCCGAGTGATGCAGACGAGCTGTGTCTGTTTACAGTAGAGCTGCGATATTTGTGCATTTTGGGTGACACATCCGACTTCATCAAAAACTTGTTGACTGGGTTTAACTTCACAGATATTTTGTGGGACATGGACATGTGGCCTTATTTGTGTGTTCTCTTTGTCCCCTTATCTACAGGTGTTGCTCCTAGAGACCCCGTCAAGGGCATCTGCATGTAGACATGTCAGTCCTCAAGGGAAGGCAGGGGCAGATTATAGGCATTTCCTGCCATCCTAGGAGGCTTCCATAAATGCAGAGCCAACACATAACGCTCTGGTCCTGGCTTCTTCACCCAAGAAATCGTTAGGTTCTGCACATGACTGCTTAACCTTTCATCTGTGTGTTAAGCTTTTCAATCGTCACAGGTTGCGCCCTCCAGAGATCAGCAGGGAGTAGCCTGCAGGTACGAGACTTTGATGGCTATAAAAATAGGCACATTTTTCTTTGACCCATTAGACACCTTTAATGTTGTTTCATCTGGAAACTAAGCAAGACACTAAGGCAAAGCATGCATCCAGCATGGCTCTTTTTTTTAGGTCCCACACTCTGGTGAGTGGGGCCACTGGTAAAGGGCATGGGAACCTTTTTGCCAGGACTTTTTTCTGTCAGACATTTGTGGCTTTGTTTCTGTGCCCCCCCCCCCCCCCTGTGGGTTCCAAGGCCCCATTGTGGGGAAAACAAGAATAGACCCACTGCCTCCCCAAAAGCATGTCGTAAGAGTCGACTAATTGGGAAGCTTCCTTTGAAGTCGGAGTGCATCTGCCGGAGAGGCAAGGAACCAACAGTCTGCATTCAAGAGAATGAGATCTGTAAAACTGATGCACATGCAACACTCAGGTTCTGGAGCAGGACTGCAGTTCAGTAGTGGACGAGCAACCAGAACCTTCCGCCAGAGTTTACAGCTGGTGAACGTGAAGAAGAAGAAGAAGAAGTTTCTGTGCCATAGGACATGTCTCAGACGGGCATTTAAGCCAAACCAGCATACTGACAGTGGCAGGTTGTTGTGGTGTACCTCAAGGTGGTGATGACGACATTGAGGAACAGCAAGGGATGTATGGAGACAGGACTCTGTTCCACTAATTACTGCCAACAAGAGATGTTGCTTATCTAGGCTGCGAGCAAATCTCTTGTTATAGGGTGAATTTCAACAGCTCACCACTTGACAGACATTTTGGGGTTGTTTAGTAGTATGTAACTGCGGATAGAGACGTCTGGCGATCTCTCTGGCAAACCTCTACACCCCAAGGTAGAAGAGGAGCGACTAAGTAAGTAAGTAAGTTAGTAGTATGTTCGGCTAGCAGACTACCTATGTTCTATATGAGCTTTGATATACATTTTAATTCCTGCACTGGGGGTAGACTGATGTAAACCAGACTCGACACTACATCTCTAGAAGCCACCAGTTTCAAGATCCCCTGCCAACTTGGTTAAAGTCACAAAGGTGAACCCTTATCCGTACTGCACAATGTGGACATGCGCCAGGAGTCTTGCGTGAGTATCTGTAAAACAATTCCAGAGCTGGCTAGCACCGGAGGTGAGGTATAAAGTAACTCCTTAAACACATCATAAAGGCCTTAACTTTCTCTCATGCCTGTGATCAATATCACTGCTCCAAGAAAGCATCAATCTAGAACCCACAGAGCAACAAAAGCTGAGGGAGATAAAAATACATGGAGAAGAGAATTAGATTAACGAAGTAGAGAAGACATGGAGGAAGCTAAAAAGAGATGGCAAAACTGCTATGTGCTAATAAATGTAGGTTGTTTATCCACTGGCAGAAATATACAATCTTCACTAGTGGGCAACATAACACTTTCATTGTTAATACATACTACACATGCAGAAATCTTTACCTTTTGATGAGTCTGCATTTCTAACAGCTGTCAATAGTTGCCTGTCTGTGAAGAAAAAAAACCAAGAAATGACATATTTGAGATACAGAACCCTTGTTCAGTAATGAAGGATACTGGGGATACAGTGTATATCTGCTTGCTCAAATGTATCTAGGTGTCTGATGAGATCAAGGTTTCCTAACCTCAAATTCTGGTATTAATTCTAAGAGGCTAGGTCAATCCTGAAGCCATGCCTTCTTCTTCTTCTACCCTGCATCTCTCAATGGAACAAAGGCCATCTACAAACTAATGCCAGACCCTTCACAGAAACCCTTTGTCCATCATTACTTTTCAGCCAGTTTTCTATTAGAAGAGCTATTTTCAGTTTTTTTTTTCCTTGATTCATGCAATTCTGCAAAATGTAAATTGAAAATTTCATTTTTCTTCTTTTGTGATTGTTATTTTAATATATGTGAAATATAAATAAACTTTATTTTTCCTAATCATATTTCATTTAGCTAACTCATGATATAGAGGATGCATCAAATAGCAGCACACTCGGATCTTGAACAGCTGGGTCACAGCAAATAACATGCAATAGAAATTTTTCACTCCTACAAGAATAATAAATATCTGCAAAATGGTGGGAGAAAAATAAATTAAAGCAATGTTTCCCTGTTGTGAATTTGAACAAAGAAGACACAAACAATAGATTACGCAATTTACTGCTTGGCATAATTCACTGTATTTCGTCAGGTGCACACTACAGTCACAATGGATTAAATTGAAGCAAATAAATGAATCCTTCAGACTTGAAATTTTTTTTAATGTAGTCAATTTTGTGTTTCAACTCAACAAATTCATTTATTTGCTTCATTTTTATCAACAGTTACTGTAATTAATATGCACCTGAGAGATCCAGTGAAATACTGTAAGCAGTGAATTGTAAAATTTACTACCTGTGTCTTCTTGTTCAAAGAAAAGCAATTAGACAAATATAAACACAAGTTTTTTAAAGATAACATAAAACAGAGAGCTTTAAACTCAGTAAGTCAACAGATTCTGCTAGAGAGATAAAGAAGCATATCCAAGAAACAAGAAGCCCTAGAATAGATTCTAAAAAAATTTGCAGCTAGATTTGACAGTAGTGGACGCCACTAGTTGATGTCCACTACTTTCAGATCATCACCAGAAATATAAAAAGACAGAAACAAAATGTTCTTGAGGCACCTGTACCTTCCTACGATTTTATCAATCAATTAAAAATGCTCTGGATATCCACACTGCTAGCCAGATGCAATATAACTACTTAAAACATCCCTCTGATAAAAACCTTGACCCCAAAATCCAGCCAAACATAAACATGAATTGGCTGAGGACCTACGTTCTACCAAAAGATTCTTCTTTTGAGTTCATCCGAAGATATAAATGCGTTGTACCCGTTAAAAACACGGATGCAATATATGCACCTTTCTGCTGACATTTCTGACTTCTGCAGGCATTTTCTGTCTTTGTTAGCATTTCAGAAGAAAATAAGAATTACCTATCCTAATCAGTGGATACAGTCGACATCTGTGACTTGGGCACTACAAATCTGATCTGGCAGCAGACCACTTTGCCTTGATTTTGACAATGGCATCAAGAATCACCTGTTCAGATTCAATGGCAAACTTCTAACATAAAACTGTCTGGTAAAACTTAACAGCCAAATGAATGCTGGAGTTCGTTCTACACCTTCCTTTAAAGATATACTACTAACTTTTTTAAAAGACACTTTGAGGTGACCAATACATTTTTAAATAATTACAACAACAACAACAAAAAAAAAACCTTACCTGAAATACAAGGCACTCCTAGTTTTGAGAAAACATGCTTCCTATTAGGCCAGAGTTGATGTCGACAGTATACAGGCACAATGGCTCTGGACTTTGATGACTTGGGTGCATATACAGACATTTCTCTGTCCACATACATGGCTTGAATTCTGCTGGCAATATCCGGATCTAGAGTCATGCTGGTCACTGACAGCGGCGTACTCAGATCAATTGGTTTTAGCTACAATATTTGAAACAAAATATTTAAATGAGTGGATAGGTTTTTTCGGTAACAGAATGTATTATTATATTATAGGTAACACAAATTAATTTGTCGCTTCTTTACCACACAAGTGGTACAGTCAGGAAGTAAAGGATCATTTTCACCTCAGTAGTAATATTAGTAGTATATTTTACCTCACTAGGACATCACACAAGCGATAAATACCCGATGACACAAAGTGCCATCATGTGGATGAGGATCACCCGTGGAGAAGTCCTGGAAACCATGTTCAGCCATTAGGCCATATTTATGGCCGGGCTATATTGCGGCCCCCGGAAAGAGCCAGGGTGGGACTTCAAAATAACGAAAAATTGCATCCCACAAAGGGATGACTAGATTAATACACACTCCAGTGGTGTATGAGGTACATTGTGTTAGACTTATCTATAATAAAAACACTAAATTCATTTTTTTGTCAGATAACTTGCAATCTTGTTGACTCCTCCCAAATGATAAGGCACAGACAAGTTAAACTTACAGGTAGTGTTCTGGCAACAGTCTTCATAAAAACAGTCATATTTGCAACCATGGCTTCAGCATATTTTGGCATATTAACTGACAGTCACTTAAAGTCACATTTCGCTGGAGATATATCCCTTGCAAACTACATTTGTCATTGTATCCCTTGGCCATTTATTTAATAAACCACAGGTCGCAGGGGTAATCACTCTGAGTCAGGTTGTCGTACTAAGTTGGTGTATGGCTACATAATCAGATTTTAAAACATATTTGTATGAACACTGCAGCATATTAAACAATGTAGTATGATATTCCATAGCTAAATATTGAGATAAAATCTGGTGAGTATAATTAATCTGAAATGAATGTAGATTGCTTTACTCTATCCCCGGAAATGAAATAGACCAGGGCTTTTCTAGTGGCCAAAACTGGCCCGTGGAGGCCCAGCAAGTGGCCCATGGATCACTACCAGCTGTACTGTATTAATGATCATTCTATGCTGGGTTCAGGCCTCTGGCACATGACAGTCTCCATTTTAACATTTTGGCCCCCGAGTTGAACAGCCCTAGAATAGAGCAATTAACCCTTGAAAGGTGATGTGATCAACATTATGATGGCCACCTTCACTTCTCAAGGCTTTACCTGGTACTCATTTTAGATTGTTTCTATCCTTTAAAAAAAAAAAAAAAAATTTGACTCAGTGCAGATGCAAACCCAAGATATATAAGTGATTTATACATTGCAACTATTCTTTACTTCCCTTATGAGCCTCCTATAGGTAGACGACTAGGATGAAATGAAGTCATCAAATCTAACAAGACTGAATAGCTTTGTTCTTCTTCTCCTTGTTCACTGGCTGTATTTGCGAAAAGTCCTGGCTACTTCTGGACTTAAGTCAAGCTCCAGAACTGGAGTCTTGCGTGCACATCCTTTTGCAGATTTGGTTTATGTGCATGCAGACTGTTGGTTTCTTACCTTTTTACCTTTCAGGCAGATGCACTCCGACCTCTAAGGATACACCCTAATTAGTTAACTTGTACAACAAGCTAGTTCATTTTTTTTTTTGGGGGGGGGGGGGGGGGGGTTTAGGTGATTATACCCCCCCCCCCCCCCCCCATGAGGACCTGGAATCTATAAAGAGAAATGCTTTGGCTGAACAGGTGCTATAGCAACAAATAATGAACTAATAAATCAACAGCATAATTTAGTTATAAGGCCGGGTATAGAAATTATAATTTCATTCAACAAAATTCAAACTACACTATTGTTTAAAAAAAAAATACCTGTGCTGGACCCATAAATGACAGTGTAGGAAAATGGATTGTACTTGGTAACGGCGGCACAAGTGTTTGTTGTCGGGGAGGATGTGTGCTCGGAAAAGCCATATTTAGTGCACAGCGCGTATACCTGCCATTATCTCCATTATCTACTACCGCCGATGACGAAAACGATGATGTTGAACTCGAGGATGTGGCTTTTTCATCTGGGCCCCGTGTCGGTAGACTACTACCACCACCAGTCTGGAGAGTTTGAATTGTTGCAGCCGCTTCTTCGCCATCATGGTGTTCTTCTACCTCCATAGTTAACAGTTTTATTTAAATAATTCAATAAATAGTGGCCTGTTTTCCAGGATCAAAGAACTCAACCAGGTCGCTGGCTGGTACGGAGGGAGAGCCTCCTACACTTAGACCAGTTGTTTACTTCTGGACCATTTCCATCTGGACACAACCGATACTGTATTCGATTCTAATTTCTGACTGAAAGACTGTCGGCTTCGTCAACCAATAAGGTGCCGTCTCCACAATGAAGGTTCGCTGCAATTGCTCTCCGACTAAGGCTACCGCGGTTGGTACCTACGTACAAACATGGTACTATTTGATCCTTGCTGCGCTAAACGCCAAAACTGGTTTTTGGTACGTTTTAGAAATGTTGCATCAATATTTTAAATGTTGGCATTGTGTTGAACCTTATAAAAGGGACAAAAAATGGTTCTTTTATGTTAAGCAACCACATTACGCGAGATTGAGGGAAATCCCATAGTGTAGGACATGGGGAGAGGGGGGGGGGGGTGGGGTTAATGTTAGCTACTACTAACCACAACCCTAATCCCCTACCTACACTGAAGGATTTCCCTAAATCTCGCGCGAAGTGGTCGCTTAACAGGAAAGAACCAAATATTTTAGAGTTAACTACAAAAAAAGTGCGATTTTGTTTCAGTTTCAAAGCCTAGTGTAGTAGTGTCCTACCAAACAATTGTCAGATGGTTCCATTTCATGCTGGTTGCAGTTAAAGTTTATTAGTTACTGACAATTCTGGTAATCTTTACTGTTCTAGTTATTCTCTATTGTTCCGCTCCACACAGCAGGACTGATTTGACATTAGACATTCGAAGTTTAGTATTAGTGTTAAAATTACCTTTGATTTCCAAAAATTTGCCTGTGCCGTAAATTTTCTCTTGTCTTTTGTATTCATATTTTAATATCTCTATCAGTGTTAGCCCCCCCCCCCCCCCCCCCCCAAAAAAAAGCCCTCTATCTTTGTCTATACTGACGTTACTGGCCAAATAAGTAAAATAAGTGTATGACCACCATTTTTACCAAAGATTAATTCCAAAGTCATTTGGTCTGTTCTCAGTGACTCCAGTGCTCACCTCCTCAGATAACATAACGGTTGCAGCACCTGGTACCTATTTGAGACTATAACTGAAAATTGTACATTTTGGTATGTCTGACAGATACCCTATATTATATAGGTTTTTACCACAATCGACTCAAGAATTTATAAGTAATGGAGTAATGCTTCAGTGGGCAGTGGTTTTTACTTCTGTTTGTTTATGTTTCAACCTAAAATTTACTTACTGACAGACAGGGGTCAGTAAATACACTATGACACTCTATCTGTAAGTCGTCGTGGCCGAGTGGTTAAGGCGATAGACTAGAAATCTATTGGGATCTTCCCGCGCAGGTTCGAATCCTGCCGACGACGCTATTTTTTTTTTTTTTATGATTTTTTTTTTTTAGTAAAGAATCATGCCCTTAGTTGTTAAACGATGTGGTTATTGAATCCATTCAAACTCCCTAAGCAAAATGAAAAGCCTGATGACTGGCTCCAAAGCTACCTCAGACCCGTTCTTAAGCCAGGGAAAGACCACGCGAGAATAAATGGCTACAGAATCATCACACTCCAGAACATAAGGAAAACTCAAGGACAAAATCGTGGCTAAAACGTAAACCCAAACATTGCAGTCGGGTGGTCTATTCCCTTCTACTCTATGTGGTTACCGACCAGGAAGAGATACATGGTGTAATGCTGCAGTATTTGACAACGACACATACGAGGGTTTCCTGGTGGAAATGGAAATGGCTGCAGCCGCTACTGACTTAGAGGATGCGTACGACAGCGTCCGATACAAAATGCTTATCATACTGCTGTTAGATATGTACATAGAAACAAAAATGGGTCAACTGGATCGCAGCAGCACTATTCGAAAAAAACAATCTAGTGTGGCTTTGATGTGGTGCATGGGCATCTCTGTGTCGCCGGTGCTTTTTAATGTGTACACAAGGATTCGCCGGTGCACAACGCGTAGACCTAGGCAGAACAATGTTGTATTAGGCAACAGCAACTATTGTGTTAATGGGAGAATTATTTCAGTCCATCGCAGTGTATGCAGAAATGAATGTAAGGTAACCACTATTCGTATTCGGCCTGACCGCAACTATTCGGCCGAATACCGAATAGTCATTCGGTCTACTATTCTACTATACAGCCCTAGTTATTATCACACTCGGAAGCTACTGCAAGGATCAGTTTCCCGCGACCGTAGACACAGAGGTAGGGGCACTGATAGATCAGCATTCAGACCCAGAAGATATTATCTTCTACACAGTTGGATCCGTGAAGGGCGGATCAAGTTCAGCATGGACTTACACATGGCAAAGAATGGGGGGGGGGGATACAAGAGGACAGGGGCGCTTACCAGACAAACACGTCAAGCATGACCATGGAGATAGCCGCTGCTTCTAGAGCACTAGCATGTATATTCGAGCAAACCGCCACACAGGCAGTTATTGTATCCTCCATGAACATGCTGCAGAAGATAGCAAGCAATATGCGCTCTAAATGGGCAGAAAGCATTCGACAATCGCACTTACCCTCCCTCACCTGGATCTACACACCTGGTTATGCGGACGTAAAGGGTAATGAGCGAGCGGGCCAACTGGCGAGCAATCCACCAACGCATGTGGGAAGAAACAATGTACAGAGCAGATATCGTCAGTGCTGTACGGACTGGACTGGTGGATAATGAGGAATCCATGATACCAACACGATTGCGTGACATGGTAGTAAAGCATGTTGAAGCACGTCTATGCCGTCTTCGAAGCCGAGATAGGAGACAATATAACCAGCTTCTCATGAGAACAATTAGTAAAAGTATCTTGGAGTTGCTACTTCATAGGAGAAATAACCAATGTGCAGTGACGTCGATTGTAATAACATAACATAAAAGATAGCTTTATCATTTACACAGACGGATCTTGAGCAAAAAACAAGGAAAGAACAGCATTTTACTTATTAAAAAGTCGAGGTAGGTAAATACATCAGAACTTCCACCATCAGGTCGTCGTGGCCGAGTGGTTAAGGCGATAGACTAGAAATCTATTGGGATCTTCCCGCGCAGGTTCGAATCCTGCCGACGACGATTTTTTTTCATTAAAGAATCATGCCCTAAGTTGTTAAAAGGTGTGGTTATGGAATCAAAAAAAAAAAAAAAAATACAAGATAGCTTTCCCATTTACACAGACGTGTCCTAAGGAGAAAACAAGTTATACATTCCACAAAGGAAGCTAAAGAAACACTACATTATCAGCGGTTAGCAGGTACTTTGTAGAACGTAGGTGTTATAACGTCTGCCCGAAAGAAACTGGGTCTCTCGTCAGCTCTTCCGCCCCGTACACTTTCATATTGAAGGAGCTCACTTGTATCATGTGCCCACCTGCGTGTTGGTCGACCTCTGCCCCCCCCCCCCCTTCCTCCTTTCCACCTTCCTGGTACCACGCCTTCTGCTGTTATTTTTGTTTTCATTCTGCCCTCGTGCTTGACATGACCAAAATATTTCAGCTTTCGAGACAAGATGCTAGTTATTAGTCAATCTTCCTTACTGCTGTTTAACTATAGACTAAATGCTGTTAATTCTCTGTATTGCTATTATCATCCTTCTTGTGACTTCCGTCGAACAGTCTCCAATGCTATTTATTATTGAGCTTAGATATTCAAAGTTTGCGACATTTTCAATTTCGTTATCATTTGTTTTTAATTCTGGATGACAGCCAATTTGATCTGTGGACATTATTTATGTTTTTGCTTTTAATGTAAGAGGAGGCTTTGATAACTGACACATTTTTTACTGAAGAAATAATTGCTTTACTAAAAGCTCTTAAAATGGTATATGCCGAATCTTCTAAACAGCTGGAAATTTCAGCTGATTTACTATTAACTGTTCGGCTTTAAAAAACTGAAACACATATAGCAGACCAGATTTAATAGAACAGATCTCTCCGGCTGTTATATATCTAAACACAAGTAAGTGCTCAGTGCAGGTTGTGGTGATACCTGGTTTATGTATCAGAGCAATTGTCTTTAGACGGAGCAAAGTCCGAAGGGTTGACATTTAAACAAGTTGTTCAGTGTTCATAAAAGACAAAGTCATATAACAGATAAACTTAACATCTAATACAATCGAAAATGACTGCGATTACAACATGGATGGAGACCTGTGATTTATGTTAGAGCTAACTAATTATTTGCCTAGAAAAAGTGCAAGGTAGTGAGGATGGCATGAAAGCGGGAAGGGGGTGAGACTTAGGTCCAGCTTCTGTATGTTTTCTTAATTTATTGAGGACTGAAGAGGGCCAAGTACTCAGTTCTCTAACCATTTGTTGTGTGTGCCTAGGTGGTGAGGGGGGACTAAGCCCGGAATTTTGTCTTATTTGTTGGTGGAAGGGGATGTGGGGCCCTCGAGCCCCTTCCTTTTTTTTGACTTTGGCTGAGGCCTCGCCCCACCCTTAATATTTTTTTTTGTTAGCGGCGCGCCTGATTTATGTACCATTTGCCAGTAAATGTTAACTGCTTTCCGTATGAAATGCCCAGTGACGACTTAACGCATGGCAGTCATAGCTATCTTGTTCTCTTAAAAACACGTCTCTCCCCATAATTATTTTCAATATCCCCTTCGCAAACAGTAGTTTTCTTTTCATCCGTTGTGTGTGTGGAGGGAGGGGGTGGGGGTGTCTGCCTCTGTTCTCCTTCATCGACGAACTGAAAGAACATAACAGGAACACAAACTGGAACTTTCACATTGCTACTAACATAGTATTTTATCACGGAGAAAAGGGTAAGATGCGGGTCAAACCTGAATGCGTGGTACGCAGTTAGTACGCACACACATACTTCAGTATATACTGATGGAGAAGGACCACTTATGCTTATAATATAGTCGAGCTCCAAGTTCAGTGACACTGCGTCTGTTAATTAACAGCGAATTGGCGATCAGCATCTATACGTCTGTAACCATTTATGACTGAGCGCATTGTTCTATTTGCTAACTCTCCTGCAACAGAGATTAAGTTTGGTGCTCTGTTTACAGCAGATCTGAGACAAACGTCAGCTGGCAGTTATTGTAGCTGTTATATATCTTTATTTGTTGGCTTTGGACAGTTGCGTTTATTTCGTGAGAGATTCTGGACATTTTACAAAATGTCATTCTCCCTCGATGTCTTGTTTTACACACCGATTGTGTTCGTATTGTTGTATATTCTGGTGAATCTGTTAGTGAAGGCTCCTAGAAATGTTTGCATTGTTGTTCTTGGCGACATAGGACGCAGCCCACGGATGCAGTATCACGCCTTGAGTTTTGCAAGAGAAGGTTTTCGCGTCTATCTCGTCGGTTATCCAGGTCTGTATATTGTGTGTTTTAAAAACAAAAATTTATTAGAATAGAGGTGGTAATAATTATTAAATTATGAAAGCCGTGCCTTTTGCTTAATATTATCTTCCCGTTTCAATATTCGCTCTCCTTTAATAACGGTCGCTAGCTGCAAGGCGACAGCCGCTTGGTCGGAGTTCACTCCCCTGGCTGCAGTGCAAATACGGAGTGGACAAGTCACGAAACAAAAGAACAAAGTGAGGTCGACATGGCTGCTAGAGCTAGACCACGCGCTGCGACTGACATCAGCGGTTAGCGACCGCGTTCTTGCGACGCAAGACTCTCGTAGACCACGCGCTGCGACTCAAATTAGTGACTGCGTTCTTCCGACGCAAGATTTAGTGACCGTAGATGTCAGACCTGCGGATCTGTATGTCGTAATGACCGATAAGCGTGCGTGGTTTCCGTGATGTGCTACCCTAACCCTAACCCTAATCCTACCCCAAACCCTAACCCTACCCCTAACCCTACCCCAAACCCTAGCCCTAACCCTACCCCTAACCCTACCCCAAACCCTACCCCAAACCCTAACCCTACCCCAAATCCTAACTCAAACCCTAAGCCTAACCCTAGCATGACAGGTAACTATCTCATTTGTTTCGTTCCCACTTTTCCACTCCATAATTGCACTGCAGCCAGGGGAGTGAACTCCGACTAAGTGGCCATCGCCTTCAAGCTAGCGACCGTTATTTAAAGAAGAGCCCAATATTCTTCTTCGGCTATCCTCTGAATAACTTCAGTAACGGTCCCTAATTATCGAGGCAAAAAATATACCCTAACAGGGCCTCAGTCACATGTATGTTGCAGATTTTCGGCGACTTAAATTGCGGAGCTTCCGCCAACTTCCGCCACGGCTGAGAGTATCTCCCACGTAGCTACGAGGATTGGGGCCAAACTAGATGGCTGGGACTCACGAGCAGCAGCTACCACATCTCCTGCAGCTTCCTACATTTTATTTGCTCGTGAGTCCCAGCCATCTAGTTTGGCTCCAATCCACGGCGTGCGTAGCGGCGTGGGAGATACTCTCGGTGGTGGCGGTATAGTCCCCAGAAGTCCGCAATTGACATGTGACTGAGGCCCTGTTAGGGTATATTTTTGGTCTAGATAATTTAGGACCGTTATTCGGAGAATAGCCTCTTCTTTTGTTGTCTCACTGGATACCAGGTTGTCGTGGTTTTCTGTATTTGTCTTGCACTTCTCAGGTGGCTTTTTGCAGGTTTCATTTGCACTATTTATCCATATCTTGTGTTCCTCCTTCCTTTCTCCCAGAGGTTCTACTGTAAAAAGTCTTTCTTATATGCAGTGGTCTTAGTGCATTCTCACTAGATGCCTGAACCATGGCATTCTTTGTCAGTATAATCCAGAAGAAATGTTCTTATTCCAACTTTATGTCGGCTATCTTCCGAATAACCATATAAAATTTTTATGGACGAAAATTTACCCTAATAGGGCCTCAGTCACATATAAGTTGCGAACTTCCGCCACCGCTGAGAGTATCTCCCCCGCTGCTACGCGCGGCATGGAATGGGGCTAAACTAGATGGCTGGGATTCACGATCAGCAGCTACCACATCTCCAGCAGCTTCCATCATTTTTTTTGCTCGTGAGTCCCAGCCATCTAGTTTAGCCCCAATCCTCGCCACGCGTAGCGGTGTGGGAGATACTCTCGGCGGTGGGGGTAGTCGCCAGAAGTGGGGAATTTAAGTCGCTGGATGTCCAGAATTTACATGTGACTGAGGCCCTGTTAGGGTATATTTTTGGCCTCAATAATTTGGGACCGTTATTAGGAAGATAGCCCAACTTTATGTCTAATGCTGGTATTGATAGCTCTGTCTTGTCTAGTGCTGTTAGTTACCTTGCTGAGACAACGCATTTCACATGTAGTTATTCTCCCCTTTCAATTTTCTGTTGAAATTGATAATTAATGTTTATCCTGATTTTCTGGAACTTCTCATGAACTTGCAAGCAATTTAGAACTGGGAAGTTTCCAGAGTTTCTTGTCTCTACATATGTACTCGCCAAACCATTTTAGTTTTTTTACTATTTTAATTTTTAGTTTACTAAATCAGTAAATGTCCTTGTTACACAGTTTAATTAGTAGGAAGCAGATGCAGCCAAAACCTAAGTTTGAAGTCCTGTGTGCGCAGCTCAGTTATTTGAATATGTCTAATCTTCTTCTTTTTTTTCCCGTTCACCAGCTGTAAACTCTGGTGGAAGGTTCTGGTTGCTTGTCCACTACTGAACTGTAGTCCTGCTCCAGAACATGAGTGTTGCGTGTGCAACAGATCTCATTCTCTTGAATACAGACTATCGGTTCCTTGCCTCTCCGGCAGATGCACTCCGACTTCAAAGGAAGCTCCCCAATTAGTCGACTCTTACGACATGCTTTTGGGAAGGCAGTAAGTCTATTCTTGTTTTCCCCACAATGGGGCCCCGGAACCCACACGGGAGGGGGGGGGGGGAATATGTCTAATGTTTAAGAAGAAGAAGAAGATAATTGAATTTGCCCTTTTTTCATTGAAAACCTGCAGCCATTATTGACCAGATTGTCAGTTTCCATTAAATTAAATTTTTACTTATGCAACTGCTATTGTGGAAGAGAAAAATAATTATCAGCTGTTGAACAGTCTGTGTTTATTTTTTACTACAGGTCCTTCCCCTTGTGGGTTCAGGGGCCCAATTATGGGGAAAACAAGAATAGACCCACTGCATACTTAAAAGCATGTCATAATTGTCAACTAATTGGGAGTACATCTGCCTGAGAGGCAAGGAACCAATAGTCTGCATACAAATAAGTAATATCTGAGAAATGGATGTGCACGCAACACTCAGTTTCTGGAACAGGACTTGAGTCCAGAAGTGGATCAACAACCAGAACCTTCCGCTGGAGTTTACAGCTGGCGAACGCAAAGAGGAAGAAGACTACAGGGCTCAGAAAATGAGAATCTTACGAAGGAAGACCTGGATGCAAAATTTGGCTTCAAACATGCAAATATCAAGCCTTGTCTCTGTTTTAACTTTTAGTATCATGAATATTATTTCAACTGATATCCAGGTTCCACACCCCACAAAGATGTTCTACAGAATGAAAATATTGAGATTTTTCATGTGCGTGAACCACCCCGTGTTTTAGCAAGTGAGTGTTCTTTCTGATTAGTTTATTGTATTTTCAAATCATTTAAAAAAAAAAAAAATTGACTGCAGTGTATCCACAGCTTTTTTGGGATGCTTTTTCAAAACAAGATGATGAAAGGGCAGAACATAGTTTAGAGGAAAGAAATAAAGAAGAAAAGAGAAAAAAAAAAGAAAAAAAGTATAAAAACTGATCGACCACCAGTATTGAAAAATATAGTACAGCATTTCTCAACCTGTGGGTCGCGACCCTTTTGGGGGTCAAATGACCATTTCAAATGAGTCACCTAAGACCATAGGAAAACACAATTTCACTGAAGTTATGAAGTAGCAAAAAAAATAATGTTATGGTTGGGGGTCACTACAACATGAGTAACTGTATTAAAGGGTAACAGCATTAGGAAGGATAAGAACCACTGGTATAGTATATATGTAGGAAAAATATTTACATTGTATTCATTCATTTGAATTCCTGTTGTGCCATTATGTGTCACACAGGCTCGCAGTCTGTTTATCCATTCTGTTTTGTCCTGTGCAATCACCTTGATATCATGGGTGAAATCCAGTTCAGCACCTTTGGCCACTCTCATTAATTTTTGTCTTAGGGTTTCTCTTGGACGTCTTTGTATTCTCAATCCACCTGTTTCCTATTTCAGTGCCTGTTTGATAATTCTCTGTTCGTGTCTTCTACTAGTGTGTCCAGTATAGCGCCATCTTCTCTGCATTGTAACTGTTGATACTAGTAGTTGCTCAGACATCTCTCTTATTTCTTGACTTCTCTTGAATTCATACTATTTTATGTTCATCATTTCCTCAAGCATTTGTTTTTGAATGCATTTAACTTTTGTTCCATATCTTTAAGGGTTTTCCATCTGTCAGTGGCATATGTTAAAACTGAAATAACATTAGAATTGGAAATGGGTAGCTTGGTTCTGTAACAAAATGATTTAGAATTCCTTATTTTGTTCAAGTTTTTAAAAGCTGCTGATGCCTTGACATGGTGTATCATAATTTCTTTCTTTGACTCTCTTTGACTATCAGTCTTACTACTTAACTAAGTAAATTGATCTTTAATTATTTTTCTGTCTAGTGTTACATCTGTTTGATCTGTTATTTGTGTCTTCAAAATATTTGTCTTTGCATAACTTATTTGTTGTCCAGCTTTAGATGCTATTTTTGCAAAATCCTCTGTTTTTCCTAACAGAAAAGTATCATCTGCAAAACTGAAATTTTCCAATTGTGTGTTCTTCACCAAGTCAGTGCTGCTGTTTCCAACACAACTTTCTTTTTCATCATTCAGTCAATGATTATGCCAGATAATGAGGGAGATAAAATACATCCATGTTTCTCTCCTGTTTTAACTGCAAACCCATCCCATAAACCGTCATCTGCTTGCAGTGCATACTCTGAACCTTCAAAGATTGCTTTGATTATGCCAGATTATTTTTATTGGTATACTATAGTATTCAAAAATTCCCCACAGTGATGTTCTGTGGAAACCATTAAAAGCCTTTTTAAAGTCGATGGAATTCAAAATAAGTGAGGGTTTTTGTGTGTGTGCAGATTCCTCTAAAATAAGTCTCACAGTAATTATTTGATCTAAGCAGCTTCTTCCAGGCAGAAAACCTGCTTGTTCCTCTCTCAGGTATATTTTCCACCACCCCTTTAATTTAATGAACAGTTATTATACGAAAAGTCTCTCCAGTTGTTACAGTCCGTAAGGTTACCTTAATGCCTAAACAAATCATTCACTTAGTTATTGGTCATATCATCTGCTGTCTTGAGCATTTCTGCAGTAATTCCATCATCACCTGCTGCCTTATTGTCCGCTAATGAATGAATTGCCTCCTCGATTAAATCTGTTTTATAATAGTAATAATAGTTTGGTGTGTATAGGTAACAGCTGTGTTAATTAACTGATCATTTATTTATGTTTGAACAGAAATTCCACGATTGCTTGGTTACTTTTTGAAAGTGATATGGCAGTCAACTTTCCTGGCATGGACACTTCTGCTGCTTCCAAACATGTCTTCCATATTCATCCAGGTCAGAGACTTTGTGTATAGAGAAAAGGGAGCCCTTGTTTGTTTACCTCAAAGACTTGGGGTTTATGATGCTAGACTCACGATGTTAGAGACCAGTTGGCACTCAGTGGGGGATGTGGTCAACAACTCACTGGTTACCTTTACTTCCCAGCTAATTACTTTTTTTAGGCTGGGTCAGCCTGAGAGCCTGGATCTGTTTTTGAAGAAGAAGAAAAAACCCAGCCACCTTTATTTCCCATAATATGTCCTGATACCTATTTTAGGCTATATTAACCTTGGAGTCCAGCTTCTTTATGAAATTCCACTTCTCAAAGGGAATAGGAAGACATGACCAATAGGCAGCTATCATCATGTTCATCCAGCTTAGTGAAACAATCCCAAGAGATGTTACCTGCCACACGGACATTATACAAACACAGTTTCAGAGTGTACATTCAGAAATATGAAACATAATTCTATTAGCACAGAAGTAACAGAATCTAAAATCAAATGTTGTGTGCATGGAATACTTCTTTCTGTCTGTTGAGTAGATATGGACAAATGTCATGAAGCAGAATTATAGACTTTGACTGGTGGGTGTTCAGAAGACTGGGATGCATTTCATAGAGGGAAACAAAAGACAAAGCAAATCAGTTCTAGAACTGTTTAAAACAATAATAGAAGAAAGAAAGTGGGTGCTGATGAAAGATACAAATGAGAAAGACAAAGTGCCTTGATCACATCAATTGACATTACAATCTGTGGAAAATGTTAATGGAAGGAAAAGTCTGAGGGCAACAGAGATATAATTTGACCTATTTTTTTTAAAACTGTAAATGTCAAAGGATGGGTAAGTTACCACAGAGATGCCTTGTTTTTGTATCCAATTTTATATTCATTAGTTTGCCATTGCTGCCCAAATGGTCAACACACCACACCATTCGGATCGGGTATCTTGGTATAATGAAATCTGTTGACAATATGTAAACTACAGATGCTTACATAGGAAGAGTAGACACATGTTGATCTTAGTTTTTGGCATCTTGAGCATTGAAGGACCAGTGTGTTAGCGGTTGTATTTCACTTGTGATTATTTTGTTTCAGAATCCACCATCAATACCAACCATGCTAGTCTCTTACATTGTGTGTAAGATTCGCTTCTGTGACCTGGTGATTGACTGGCACAATTATGGCTACACCATTCTTTCCTTAGCTTTGAAACCTGAACATCCATTGGTCAGATTTGCCAAATGGTAAGGCAGTTACAAATTTGACTTTTGTATTTGTTTCATCGTGTATAAAGATCTAACCTTTTTAATTAATGAAATGATCCAGTAGTGATGCAAACATCTAACAAGAATAAATATTGATATAGAGTCAGGTAAAGACAAAGAAAACATTGGATAGACAGCATCAAGGGTAGGCCAAACAGACACAGACTGAATACAACCCAGACAATACATCTGGCCTTGGAATTAAGACTTAAGCTGCCCCTACTTCTTTTTCTTTCATATTTGCCCTTGAAAGGGCAGCTAGGATGCAATGTCTGCCTTTTGGCCCAACCCTCTGATTTCAGCAGACCCCTAAATAGCTGCCTTTTACAACATCTTTGTTAGGGAGGCAGTGGCACTGTTGTTTTTTTTCCCTCCTCACACTTGGGCCCCAGAACCCACACAAGAGGAAACCATAATGAAGACCTGCTGCTGCAGTTAAAGTCAAGAGGGTCGACTTATTGCACTGTGTTTTATTATTTATAGTTCAGTCTCTATCCACACTATCTACTCTACTCTATCCACTCTATCTTCACAATATAACAAACACACACGGAAAGTGAACTTTGAATCTACAGAGCTTTATCAGCACTTGGTTTGGACTGCTTGTCCAACCCAACAACCAGTGACCATAAATAACCAAACTCTTGAAAATGTAGAACATTTCACATATCTTGGCAGCGTGGTGTCCCTGCCGGGAGGGACCGAAGAGGACATACAGTCCCGTCTGAACAAAGCTAGAGATACTTTTGGAAGGATGAGGCAAATCTGGAAATCCAACAATTACTGCAGAGGAACGAAACTCCGACTCTACAAGAGCATCATTTTGCCAGTTCTTCTTTATGGAGCGGAATGCTAAAGAATGACCAAAAAGGATGCACACAAGCTGTCCACCTTCCACCACACATGTCTACGTAGAATTACCAAAATTTTCTGGCCAGATACAATCTCAAACACTGAACTACTTCAAGTCACAAACCAAGAAACTTAAGACAGTATGATAACCAAGAGAAGATGGAAATGGCTTGGCCACGTTATGAGAATGAATCCTGATATACCTGCCAAAACAGCTCTCACATGGACACCAGAGGGAAAGAAAAAACAGGGGCGCCCAAAAACAACATGGAGACGAACGATGGAAAGTGACCTGAATGCGGCATTTCTGACATGGAAAACTGCACTGAAGATTGCACAGGACAGGAAAGCATGGAAAGTCCTCCCTGAAGCCTCATGTGCCACTAGGCTTAACGAGAACTGATAATGATAATGATTTCATCAGCACATTACGTAAATCAACAAAACCACATGTACAGACATGAATACACACAAAAAGTTCACGTTCCAAGAGCATCACACAAAGCATGAGCTCTATAGCTCCTGCGACAGTCCCCATGGATCTAAATAAAAAAAATTGCACTCATGAGCTGACTGACACATCGTAAAATGCATCCATGGCCTTTAGAGCGCGAGATAAATGGCTTGGCCACCTCGACATGGGATTACCTTGCTGCTACAGAGGGCAAGATTGAGTGGCCTATGACACTATCTGCTCCAACTACATTGGAATTGGAGAAAACTGTGTTAAGCTACCTTCTCACAGTCATAGAGATTATATCAATATCATCATCTACAGAATTATTATTATATCTAGATACTATTTTTTTTTTCAAATTTTACGTCTGTAAAATTTGTAACTTACTTTAAATTCTGAGTGTAATATAAGGCACATAAACAAAGATTGTCATGAATTTTTCAGGTATGAAGAAAAATGTGGCAGGCTGGCATTATACAATCTTTGTGTTACCCAGGCCATGAAACAGGATTTAGAGTCCAACTGGAAAATTCGGTGAGCATTGATGTCAAGTTTTTATTAGGGGTGTGGGGAGTAATTGTGTGCCTCTTTATTGTTTATCCAGCTGATAAGAGCAGCCTTACGCTTCACTTTTACAGACTGATTGCTGTTCTGGAGAGAGCAAATGAATGTAGGAACATTTTCCACAACTGTAGGAATTAGACAAGCAGTGTTCTATGGTCATTGATGATATGAGGAGCATTGAACGACATCATGGCAGTTTAAAAGATCAGCATGAGACTGAGAGATGGAATGGACAGTCGATGATTGTGACCTGGAGGAATATTGTCAATAAAAGGATCCATAACCCCAAGGATTGAAAACTGGGGACAGATATGGACAGCTAAGCAATGTGGCAAGACACATATTGATGATCATTCCCTGCTTTCTGATTGCTGGGCTTGTTTAAATATGTAATAAAAATACAATAATTAAATAATAATAATGTGCTAAATTTCAAAAAAACATAATGTGAAATGTATTAACAGATACTGAAAAAAAAAAAAAAAAAAAAGAAAATCTGTGCGGGGCAGCTTTACCCTCTTACACACTGGGGAGGGATGGGGTGTATTTGTCGGCCCTCCCCTTCCCACAGTTTTGTTATAGAAAGGCAGTGGGCATTGCCTTGATTTAAATGCCCTTTTGAGAGTCAACATAATTATACTCAGGACAAACCTGCATTGCTCTGTCTGCCTTAGCAGATATGGAGTGTAGGGGTGGTAATTGTTTGCATAGATGCAGAGCTTGCATCATTTTTAACCTGTGATCCTGCTTGCTGCTACCTCAGGTGATACCAGATTTTTAGCCAGCTGAGTTAATTTTTTAGTATTTGTGTCAACCAGCAGCAGTCTATCATATATGACACTTCATTTGTTTCTTAGCTGATCATCAGTTTCCCAAAGTTGTTACAACTAAGACAGTAAATCAGCTTACTCGTTGCCTTTTATCTCTGTTTAGCTATTGAAGATCCACTGAGGGTGGATGTAACCTGTCTAACATTGAGGATTAATTAAGAGGATAAAGAGGCCCCCCCCCTTCCAATAAGCAGTTTGCTGAAATCAGATGTGTTTAGCTGAAAGCACAGATGTCACAGCCTAGCAGTAAACCACAGCACAACATGCCAACTACCCTTTGAGGGCGAATAATGTAGAAGATACAGATAGTGAAAACATCACTGAAAGTAATCTTTTCTGAAGACTGAAAGCTTACATGATGGAGTTTGTACTGTTTATATATTTTTTATCTTACACACACACACACACGCACGCACACACGCGTGTGAGCGAGCGAGTGAGTGAGTCTGGATTCTCCTTCATCATTTGCTGATGCAAAGCCTTGTTCTGCTTTTCCCATTGATGTTGTCCATATTTTTTGTCATCACCTGTGCTGATGTAATTTATTTTTTCAAACATATATTCTGTGCCATCAGGTCACTGGCAGTACATGACCGCCCTGCAGATGTGTTCAGGTCTATAGATGTCACGCAACAACATGAGTTATTTACACGACTGGGGGCAGAGCACTCCATATTTCTGTCCAGGTAACATTTTATGCTGCTTTATGTTTGTCGCCAGTTGTAAAAAAACTCACAATTACTTTCTGTATTTACCACTTCTGTGGTGTAGCCAAAGGGGTGGGGGGGGGGGATCATGAAGATTTAAGGCTAGTTACTGTCATCACCGACTGCAGGTTAGGTTTTTGTTGTGGCCCCAATAGAAAAATCTCCAGCATTGCTAAGGATTTGAACCTTGATCTCTCGCATGAGAGCCCATAATCTTAACTGTTCGGCCAGCTGCTTGTGTTTGTTGCAAATTTAGTTAAGAAACTCTTTGAGGTTTTCATGGAAACAATGGGGTTCATGTTTGTGTTTCACACGTAGCAGCTGCCACGCTGTCTGTGAAGAAAGACCCAGCCAGATGAGAGAGAAGCCACAGCTTTGATGTATAACTTCTCAGTTGTAATCGTCCACTGTCTCTCCCCCCCCCCCCCCCCCTATTTTTTCCCCCCATGCCCTTTGACTCTTAAGTGAGAATAAATTCTTAACCAGCTCTCAACAAACCTTGTGTTAATGACTGGTAAGATTGTGCAGTCCTGTTCAAATATATATATATATATATATCAGAGTTCCTCGTGTGGGTTCCGGGGTCCTGTGATAGGGAAAACAAAGATAGACCCACTGCCGACCCAAAAGCATGTCGTAAGAGTTGACTAATTGGGAGCTTCCTTCGAAGTCGGAGTGCATCTGCCTGAGAGGCAATGAACCAGCAGTCTGCATACAAACGAGTCAGATCAGTCAAATGGATGCACACGCAAAACTCAGGTTCTGGAACAGGACTGCAGTCCAGAAGTAGATGAACAACTAGAACTTTTCACCAGAGTTTACAGCCGGTGAACATGAAGAAGATGAAGAAGAAATATCAGAGTGGTTTAGAAATAACAGTCGTGGAAGGCACAAACCATGATATCATTGATGTTGATATTTGGGATTGTGTAATTAAGAGGAAGAAGAAAGCTTGGTTTTTGAAAGGCAATGCAGGAGTTTACTTACTTAAAGATGTATCTAAAGTTATCCTCAAGAGTGAGAGATTTTTGGCAGGCCAGGGAATGTTCTTCAATGTGGCTTGTTAGATTTATCTGTCTAAATTATACTTCAAATTGATTTCTACCATAGTTTTATTTCTCACAGTGAGAATGCGCCACACTGCACCAGGTTTACACAGAAACTTGCTAATGGGACTGTGGTGAAAGTCAACGATCGACCAGCTATCCTGGTCAGCAGTACTAGCTGGACAGGCAAGTCTACATTTATGTTTGCTGCCTCTTGAAATTTAAGTTATATGAAGTCTGTTCGGAAGTTTAAAAAAAAAATGAAAGACCCTGTTCATGTCTTTCACACAAATATAGGTCTAGCTCTGAATTATCTGGTGGAAACTGGACAAGGCTGAGTCCAATTCAGGGATAGACTATATTTTTATAGACCAATTGACCCTTGATGGTTCATGTAGTCAGCATCAGGCTAGCTGCCTCTACTTCCCAGGACATTACCTAGTACCGGTTTAAGCTGTATCAACCTGGCAACAAAGGTTAGTTTTAAAAAAATATATAGAAATCTTCTAAAGAAATCCTCGAAGTGGATTTGTGCCTTTGACCGCCATGTCAGCAGTCAAGCAAGCATAAGGCTGCTACATTACCACAGCTGCCTTTAAAAAAATACCCAACCAAAAGTTTCTCTCACAGAAACAAATTAAGCTTGGGAGGTGACCTCTGGTAGGAAGGTTGTAGGTGCCTTCATTAGTTTTGTTTCACCCACTGTGTCAGTTGCTTTCTAGTTTAAGTTAGTGTAGCTAATGCTTGTCAGATTTTCATTATGCTCGAAATTACAGCTTCATTTCAGCAGCAGTGTTGCATCAAATATCTTCCAAAGCTTGGCAGTACCATAGCTTTTCCAGACCTACATGGCTCTGAGGTGGACTCGGCCTTGTCCAGTTGCCACCAGATAATTGTCTCTGAATAAGAGAATGATCACCTGGCTTCCTCGTACTCTTGTGCCGTTTATCTCCAAGTTAAGCATACTTCCTCAACGATTTTACACTGAATCCTTAGTAGACCCGTTCATTAGCAGTTAAAGCTTTCTTCAGCATGAAATTGCTGGCTTCTTGTATACCCTCCTCAGTCATCTCTTAGAATCCAGTCTGAGTTCTGGTGTATTATTTGGGGAAAGAAGGGAAGGGGGAATAGACTCAGTACCTCCCCCCCCCCCCCCACACACACACACACACCCCCCCATCCCCCAGGATGTTGTAACAGCTGACTAAATAGGGATTTTCCGAAATCGCATGAGTTGGCCTGAAAAACACAGATATCGCAGCCTAGCTGTAAACCATCCACCCTTTTAAGGTGGAACACAGAAGAAGAAGAACCTCTCAGAAATGCACAATAAATTATAGCATTAGATTTATTATTCTTTGCCTGCCTCATGGACCCCGGTAACTCAGAAATGAATATATCGACTTGTTTATAAACATACATGGATAGTATATTGGTAAGACAGAGAAGACGGGGAGTGGGGAAATAAGGACATCCAAGAGAAACCCTGAGGCAGACATGGATGAGAGAAGCCAAAAATGCTGGACTGGATTCCATCCATGAAATTAAAGTAATTGCACAGGATAGAAAGAAATGGAGAAATAGACTGCGAACCCTATGTGACTTATAATGGTGCAACAGGACAGTGAATGAATGACTGTGTATGTTATGTTGGTATCTGAAATTCCCACATAGGGGGAAAAAGAATAGACCCACTGCTTCTTAACAGGTATGTTGTTAAAAGAAATGACAACTTAAGGATTTGCTGAAATTGGATGCATGGGGCTGAAAGATGCAAATGTCACAGCTTGGAAGAAAAGGATGATATTTGAACATTATGCACACTCACCAATTTATTGAAAAGCATTTTATTATGTTTCAGAGGATGAAGATTTCAGTATATTATTGGATGCCCTAGAAAGTAAGTACTTTTTATTTCTGTGCCTGTCTGTATAATGTAATGAGTTAAGAAAAAGTAGAAACTGTGTGTGCATTATTTTGATTTCTGTAGTTTGACAAGAATGCTGTAGTCGTTCAGTGGCTGGACACTTTCCTTCCAATCATATGGTTTTATGTTTGATTCCCAATTAAGACATTGATCAGTTACAGAACATCACTCTCTTAACGGCACACCAGAAATCTGTCTTTATCTAGCCAGTTCTCTAGCCGTGTGTGTTTTCATAACCAGTGCGTCTTCAGTGTCTTTAATCTACCTTTGCTGATTCTGCCTCGTTTTTCCAGAAATTGCACCCTTCACCACCATTCGCTTCAGGCCACAGTGAAGTTTTTGGGACAGGGTGCTGCTTTAGAGCCAGTTCTTCTCGATGTTCATATCATGTAGGATGTCGGTGTTTTATTCTTGGAGGGTGCTGTTCTAAGAGACGGCTTTTAGAATTTACCTGGGCTTTGCAGTCTCCACTTACTAGCACTAACTTAATTCCCCACTAGGAGTCCAACAAATATAAGGCATCTTGTCTGTAAGTCTGTCCAAGTAATGGGAAAATGCAGGGTACCTCTAGTTCACTGATGTTTATAAGGAAGACACAATATTGTCCATGAGTTCAACTCATATCTGTACGTGTCCATAGCTGATGGGATCCGGGATCCAATCTGACCCAGCACTGGCCACCGAAGTTCTAAGTAACCATACTCTTGTGCATTTTCTGAGGGAGACAGAATACCTTTGGCCATGAGTGCTGGGATTCTCACAAAGCTACCTATAGATTCTGACAACGATACCTCTAGATCTGACAAAGATGCTTCTAGATTCTGACAAGGATACCGCTGTATTCTGACAAAGATACCTCTAGCTCTAGATTCTGACAAAGATTCTTCTAAATTTTGATAGAGATACTTCTAGATTCTGACAAGGATGCCTCTAGATTCTGACAAAGATGCCTCTAGATTCTGACAAAGATACATCTAGATTCTGACAAGGATGCCTCTAAATTCTGACAAAGATGCCTCTAGATTCTGACAAAGATACTTCTAGATTATGACAAAGTTACCTCTAGATTCTGACGAGGATACCTCTAGATTCTGACAAAACAACTTGAGGTATCGACAAATCCACATCCAGCACTGAAATCATTTGTATAGTGAATGCAGCTTCTCTATCCTCTTCAACATGCCCATTTGAAAAACTGTGATATAGTTCTGTTGTTTTCAGTACACGTATATAAGATATCTCATATTTTCAGTTATCATATACCTCTAGATTCTGACAAGATAGTTGTATATTATGACAAAGAGACTTCTAGAGTCTGACAAGTGTACTTCTGGATTCTGACAAGTGTACTTCTAGATTCTGACAAAGATACTTCTATATTCTGACAAAGATACTTCTAGATTCTGACAAAGATACTTCTAGATTCTGACAAAGATACTTCTATATTCTGACAAAGTTACTTCTATATTCTGACAAAGATACTTCTAGATTCTTAGAAAGTTGCCTCTGGATCCTGACAAAGATACCGCTAGGTTCTAAAAAAATACCACAAGATTCCATAGTTAGAGGGTAATGTTTTAAATGAACAAATGATAAAGAATGTCCATGTTACAAGAACATCTGGAAGGAAGCCTTATTTATGCTGACCACAATATTTATGACATGATGTCTGTACATCCCCAGAATATGACCAGAAAGACACAGTGGGAAATGACTCCTGCTCACTTCCTGATTTAGTTTGTGTCATCACAGGTTTGTATTTCTGTTCCATTTACTGGTTCTATTCAATATTGGTTGTTGTTGTTTGCCTCTTTAATGTATATACCTGTATTTGTTTATATTTTACAACTTTAATTCTTTTTATAATCTGCAACTATTCATCTTTTGATGGTTTAAAACTATGTGTTTGTGTTTGCAAGCCTCTCCAACAAGCATGTCATAAGAGTCGACTAATCGGAAGCTTCCATTGAAGTCGGAGTGCATCTGCCTGAGAGGCAAGGACCAAATATCTTTGTACAAATAACTCAGATCTGTAAAGTGAATGTGCATGCAACATTCAAGTTCTGGAATAAGACTAAGGTCCAGAGGTGGGCGAACAACCAGAACTTTTAGCTGGAGTTTACAGCTGGTGGATATGAAGAAGAAGAGAAGGAGAAGAGATTGACTGTTGTCCATTTCTCTACATCATTTGTGTGTATGAGCATGTTCAGGAATATTTGTGTTTACCAACAAGAAGAAGGAACGAGCAAGCAGACTGATCAATTGTCCACTCATGTATTTATATTGATTGTTTTAGACTGAAGACAAATGTAGACATTATTATGTTCTGTTATGCAGGGAAAGGACCACAGAAAACTTACTACAATGAACAAATTGCCAAGAAGGAATGGAGAAAAGTCCAGTTTTGCTTACCTTGGCTGACTGCAGAAGATTATCCGCTGATGCTCGGTGAGGAGTATATGAATTGTTATTACGTAAATGATGCTTTTAATGTTGCTATTGCATCGGGTATATGATGCTACTCATATTTTTATAGACCAGCTGGCATTGGGTAAATGAAGTCAGCATCACACCAGCTGCCTTTGCTCCCCAGGACATTACATGATACTCAGTATAGGCTAGGTCTAGTACTATATGCACTGTGTGTCTGTGGCATCTAGTCATGACTAAATATGTGTGTGATATGTACATAGTCAGGACTTGTTCTGATAGTGATATATAGGTAATGTAAGTAAAGGACCCTTTTCCACGCCTCAAGGCGTATAGGGCATCTAGGGCTAGACCTATATTTTTATAGACCAATCAGCACAAGATGGGTGATGTGGTCAGTATCATGCTGGACGCCTTCACTTTCCCGGGACTGCACCCGGTACCCACTCAAGGCTAGTTCGACCTGGGAGCCAAGGTCATTTTTGAAAAAGTCTGGCTCCGCCAGGGAGCGAACCCACAACCTTCCGATCCGCGGCGAGCCGCTCGGCCGCGGCGACTCGATAGTGATATATACATAGTCATTACTGAATCTGTGTGCAATATGTACATACATATGTACATAGTCATGATGGGATCTGTGTGTAATAAGAACATAGAGCCATGACTAGATCTGTGTGTGATATGTACATAGAGCCATGACTAGATCTGTGTGTAATAAGTACATAGAGCCATGACTAGATCTGTGTGTGATATGTACATAGAGCCATGACTAGATCTGTGTGTAATAAGTACATAGAGCCATGACTAGATCTGTGTGTGATATGTACATAGAGCCATGACTAGATCTGTGTGTGATATGTACATAGAGCCATGACTAGATCTGTGTGTGATATGTACATAGAGCCATGACTAGATCTGTGTGTGATATGTACATAGAGGCATGACTAGATCTGTGTGTAATATGTACATAGAGCCATGACTAGATCTGTGTGTGATATGTACATAGAGCCATGACTAGATCTGTGTGTGATATGTACATAGAGCCATGACTAGATCTGTGTGTGATATGTACATAGAGCCATGACTAGATCTGTGTGTAATAAGTACATAGAGCCATGACTAGATCTGTGTGTGATATGTACATAGAGCCATGACTAGATCTGTGTGTAATATGTACATAGAGCCATGACTAGATCTGTGTGTGATATGTACATAGAGCCATGACTAGATCTGTGTGTGATATGTACATAGAGCCATGACTAGATCTGTGTGTGATATGTACATAGAGCCATGACTAGATCTGTGTGTGATATGTACATAGAGCCATGACTAGATCTGTGTGTGATATGTACATAGAGCCATGACTAGATCTGTGTGTGATATGTACATAGAGCCATGACTAGATCTGTGTGTGATATGTACATAGAGCCATGACTAGATCTGTGTGTGATATGTACATAGAGCCATGACTAGATCTGTGTGTGATATGTACATAGAGCCATGACTAGATCTGTGTGTGATATGTACATAGAGTCATGACTAGATCTGTGTGTGATATGTACATAGAGCCATGACTAGATCTGTGTGTGATATGTACATAGAGCCATGACTAGATCTGTGTGTGATATGTACATAGAGCCATGACTAGATCTGTGTGTGATATGTACATAGAGCCATGACTAGATCTGTGTGTGATATGTACATAGAGCCATGACTAGATCTGTGTGTGATATGTACATAGAGCCATGACTAGATCTGTGTGTGATATGTACATAGAGCCATGACTAGATCTGTGTGTGATATGTACATAGAGCCATGACTAGATCTGTGTGTGATATGTACATAGAGCCATGACTAGATCTGTGTGTGATATGTACATAGAGCCATGACTAGATCTGTGTGTGACATGTACATAGAGCCATGACTAGATCTGTGTGTGACATGTACATAGAGCCATGACTAGATCTGTGTGTGATATGAACATAGAGCCATGACTAGATCTGTGTGTGATATGTACATAGAGCCATGACTAGATCTGTGTGTGATATGTACATAGAGCCATGACTAGATCTGTGTGTGATATGTACATAGAGCCATGACTAGATCTGTGTGTAATATGTACATAGAGCCATGACTAGACCTGTGTGTGATATGTACATAGAGCCATGACTAGACCTGTGTGTAATATGTACATAGAGCCATGACTAGATCTGTGTGTAATATGTACATAGAGCCATGACTAGATCTGTGTGTGATATGTACATAGAGCCATGACTAGATCTGTGTGTGATATGTACATAGAGCCATGACTAGATCTGTGTGTAATATGTACATAGAGCCATGACTAGATCTGTGTGTAATAAGTACATAGAGCCATGACTAGATCTGTGTGTGATATGTACATAGATGCACTAATCTATACAGACGGATCAGTTATACGCCAAAGAAGAAGCGCATGGGCATTTACAGCACGCTCAGCGGGCAGAACAGTCAAAGAAGCCAACGGCGCCTTCTCCATGACAACCAGCAGCATGACGATGGAGGTGATGGCAGTGACGCAAGCGTTTGCCTGGCTTGAAACACAAAAATACACCCGCATATGTATACTCAGTGATTCAATGAGTATGATCCGGAGGGTTCAGGCAGGTTCAGTGCGAAGACAATGGCTTGAATCAATTCAGAAGTCCACTGTGCGAGGAGTCACCTTTATTTTTGTTCCGGGACACGCAGGCGTCGATGGAAATGAAAGAGCTGACAGGTTGGCTGGATCCGCTATCACTACCGACGGTCGGCCTATGGATCATGCTGATATTATCAATGCCCTCAGAGAAATGGGAAGGATAGAGGACTTTGGTGGCAGTGAATCCACATCACAAAACTGCTGATAGAGACGTCTGGCGATCTCTCTGGCAAACCTCTACACCCCAAGGTAGAAGAGGAGCGACTAAGTAAGTAAGTAAGTAAGAATCCACATCACTCGCCAGAATGGCAGACTTGGGAATTAAGATCGGCACAGCAAAAAATGAGACGCACACCGGACACGTCAGAAGACTTGTTAATCAACATAGAACTGGTACTATTAGCCATCGGACGTTGGGATTCATACTGAGGGGAGGATCTGAGCACCTATGGACATGTCCGGAGTGCAGTGATGATAACCCAACTAACTAACTAACTAACTAATGTACATAGAGCCATGACTAGATCTGTGTGTGATATGTACATAGAGCCATGACTAGATCTGTGTGTAATATGTACATAGAGCCATGACTAGATCTGTGTGTGATATGTACATAGAGCCATGACTAGATCTGTGTGTGATATGTACATAGAGCCATGACTAGATCTGTGTGTGATATGTACATAGAGCCATGACTAGATCTGTGTGTGATATGTACATAGAGCCATGACTAGATCTGTGTGTGATATGTACATAGAGCCATGACTAGATCTGTGTGTGATATGTACATAGAGCCATGACTAGATCTGTGTGTAATATGTACATTGTTGTGACTGGATCTGTATATGGTATGTAGAAATAAAACTGGCTTGAAACAAAATCAGATAAAGAGGATGCTTACTGTCAGCTGTTGAACAAGCTCTTGGCTGTCATTAAAGATGAGACCATTTTTCTCATGCTAAACTAACTCACCAATACTGGAAAAAGAGCAGTAAACATTTTGATCTCTGTGCCAAGTGTACATAGAGCCATGACTAAATCTGTCATGTGTACATAATGCCAAATGAACATAAAATGGTGACTAAATCACTGTCAGCGTGTTCGCAGTCATGTCCTGATTATCAAATGGCATCTCTTCATTGTTTTCTCTTCTCACATTTACAGGCTCGGCTGACATCGGTGTTTGCCTTCACAAGTCCTCCAGTGGCCTAGATCTTCCCATGAAAGTGGTTGACATGTTCGGATGTGGATTGCCAGTCTGTGCTGTCAACTTCAACTGGTGAGTTGTTTGATGAGCTGGTTGCTAGTTCACAATACTTTATTTCTTTGTGTATCTTGAGGTTACACCCCCGAGTTAAAAGTCCAGGGGTTAAACCTCATGTAAAGCATCTCACTGGACGCTGGCCATAGAAAAATCAGTGTATTATGTTTAGGTGGGGGAGAGAGGTGGAGCTAGGGAGAGGGAGTAAGCTTACTGATATACCCCTTTCAAGAAGAGGCAAGCAGTGTATGGAAACTGTTACGTTAGGATGTTGCAGAACAAAACCCCAGCAATTTTTGGCTGTTGTGGTTTTCCTAGGCAAGTTTACATCCAGTAGTTTGCTATTGCTTTCTGGATCTGTACACTGGATAATAATCTTTACAAGAATGTAACAGCTAAGGTCGAAGAGGATTGACTTGAGTGAATATGCTTAAGTTAAGCTAAGTGTACATGTTTGTTTGAATCATTTTCAGGCTTTATAATTTTTAAATGAACCTGTTTTTCATTCTTCTCTCTCCTTTTCTACCTTTCTCTCTCTCTCTCTTTCTCTCTCTCTCTCTCTTTGTGTGCGTGCATGCCTGCATCTCTCTCTCTCCATCTCTCTCTCTCTCTCTCTCATTCACTGTCTGTCTTTTCAGTTGTGTTTATATATTTGTCTGAATGAAGTACGGAAATTTATTCTTTTAATTTTAATGCACAGATTACATATTTAGATAGAGCAAAATATGCCAGGTAGTAAATTGTCAGAAATGTTATTTGTTTCTTCATTGTGTAAAGAATATGTTGCCTTCTGAATGCCTCCCATCGATTTAATCTTACTCCTGTTTAAAAAAATAAAATATTAATTGCACTTTTTTCCAGTATTGGTGAGTTAGTTCAGCATGAGAAAAATGGTCTCATCTTCAATGACAGCCAGGAGCTTGTTCAACAGCTGACAGTAAGCATCCTCTTTATCTGGTTTTGTTTCAAGCCAGTTTTACTTGTAATTTTCATTTGTTATCCAGGAATTTCTTGAAACAGCAATAGTCAGATGTTGTTATCTCATTCTTCATTGCTAACATAATTTATAAAGGGTAGAAGGGGATAAAGGTTGGTAGTTAAAATGTTCAAATAAAACAGTTGTGTAAGTTGCCATCCAAGTCCATGTGTAAAATATGTAATTATCCTGAAAGAGAACATGCAAACGCGACAATTCCATTGGTTAGTAATCTCAGAGAAGCTGCTTGACTGGTGTTCCTTCATTAGCGAGTCCTTGGCAAGCCATTGGTTCTGTTGCACCTGCGCAGTGTTTAGGAAGGCCAGATATAATCTTATTTATTAAAAATAGCATGTTTTGATGTCTTGAAGAATTGTAATTTTAGCCATGATGTCATAATTCTGACTTAGCCTTTACTAATCAGGGTCATGAGGTCATGGTAGGAATTACCATTTCATCTTAGTAATCAGGGTCACAAGGTCATGGTAGGGATCACCATTTCATCTTAGTAATCAGGGTCACGAGGTCATGGTAGGGATCACCATTTGATTTTTGAGGTCTAGGAGACTGTAGTCTTTGAATTCTCTGCTGTGTTCATGTTTATTGATTACTCCTCTTCAGTTGTTTATTTAACTCTTTGTGTCCCAAACAACGTTATATATGTGACTGGGTATATTATACACGTGTACAACATATTGTGTTTTTACATCTTGTAAGAGTCAGCGACTCTGAAGAACTTTGTGACAACATATTTGTTTCCTGCAAGGGTGGTACATTTTGCCCATATGGCAGTAGTATACCCATGAATTTAGTATTGCCATTTTTAACTCCCTAGGACATTAAATAGGACCTTGTGGGACTGAAAGAGTTAAGAAAGTTTCATGAAACTGTTTAAAAAAAATTCATGGGGGGGGGGGGGGGGGGGTGGGAATCTCGGGTACTGGAATTTTTTGCCATAGGTTTTCTGGGGCAAAAGGGTTAAAGAAAATATGTTGAGGTTGTCGTCTAATTCCATTGTCTGTGAAATATATTTATTTGCTTAGTTCTGGGTCGTGGGTAGCGTTCAGAGGCAAAGATTTTAAGGTTTGAACAACGGATCAGCATCATGGCACGCGGGTAATAACCCATAAGTCCTCCATTCTTCTTCTAACTCAAGTCTGGGTCCGAAGAAGCTCAGCACAGTGCACTGGCTCTGTAGCACTGGCAAGGATCCTGAAATACTTTGGGTAGATTTGTAACTCCAAATTTTGTGAGTACAGAGGCAAATCAGCTCAGTGACATGGTCTCCCAGCACACTAGCCAGGGCCATGCAGAGGCACAGCTGTTGAGGTGTAGGTCAAAGAGTTGCAGGCAAGAACTTGGATGGGAGGCTGTTGGTTCAGTCCTGGTTAATATCTGCAAGCACCTGTAAGGCCAATCTGTGAATGGCCATTTTAAATCACTCCAGCTGATTGGGGCAGGGTTTATAATGCGAGCCACCTCTGGGGCAAACTACATCTTATTTTTGTCGTTGCGTTAAAGCTGATGTGTAGACTATGGTGATGTTTGGGTTAGTTGTCTCTAGAAAGGCACCTTGTCATGGAGTTGTCATTGAGCCATCATCTTTAGGGCGGTAAATAGCTCCCTGAAATTTACCAGCCTGTCAGTGTCTTTTTTTCTTTATTCAAATTTAGGAGAAGAGGCTCACAGAAAGATGTATTTTATTGTTACAGTTCTTGACATTTGTAATCTTGCATACTAAATATTAGTTAGTGTGCTAGGGATCTTTTCTCTGGGGCATACAGATGTGTTGGAAAAGAACAGGCAGAAAGATTGGCTGTTGATTCACCACTGAGTGGTGAATTGATACATGACAAGTTAGATATGGGCAAGGTCTTTTGGGAGCAAGTAAACAGTGCGGGAGCGCTAAAAGATAATTATGCTGTGGAGAGAAAAGTGCAGAGGGAAGCCACCAGGGGATTTGGCTTACACATTACACTCAGAGGAATGGCAAGATGGATATATAGTAAGACTGCTACTGGTATCAATAGCATTGGAACCCTTCACTGGCTGCTGAAGATGAGGATGGATCACTGGTGGGAATATCATGAATCTGGTAATCTGGTAATTTTAATTTCAGCTTCATAGCAAACGGGTCACCCCATCTTTGCTCCGCTCCTGTGCCAACAAAAAACACACAAAATGTTTATCACAGTCCATTGTGGAAAGACTGACAAACTGCTGTCTCAGCAAATCTCAATATCATGAATGCTGTGATGTTGGTTCTGAACACAACATGAATATTTTAGCTAATGTTTGATGGCCTTGACTGTTTTTTTTTCCAGGATCTGCTGGCAGGCTTTCCTAGGAAGAATGACAAACTGAGTCAATTTCGCAAAAACCTGGTCTCATTTCAAGAGCTGAGATGGCATCAGCAGTGGAAGAAGCTTGTTCTACCCATCTTTTTAAGAATTGGCAAGATCGCAGAACCTGCTTTTAGCATTCCAGATCTGTTTGGGGAACAGCAGAACAACAGAGATGTAGCCAGGAACAGCCAGAATGTTGAGAGTAAAAAGGCTAAATGATTTCCTATGTGACCAAGATGAATTTTTAACTTCTGCTGTTCAGGGTTACTTTATTGGGAAAAAAAATCTGTGTATTGAATGTGTGTGTATGTAATATTAGGAATGTTAGATTTGTAACTTGATATTATTTTTTTCTTGTGCCTTTTCAGTGCTGTCTGTAGAGAGAGTGAAATACCACAAATGTTTTAGTTTGAATGATAGTGTTCTTTTGGTTGATACCTTGTTCATGGTTATAGAAGCCACAGAATGAAGCCATCTTTTTGGACTCAGCTGAGCTAAGCTGGGTGCTGTTAGTGAAATGAGCTGATAAGTTGAGCACTGTTAGTGAAATGAGCTGATAAGTTGAGCACTGTTAGTGAAATGAGCTGATAAGTTGAGCACTGTTAGTGAAATGAGTTAGTTGAGCACTGTTAATGAAATGAGCTGATAAGTTGAGCACTGTTAGTGAAATGAGCTGATAAGTTGAGCACTGTTAGTGAAATGAGCTGATAAGTTGAGCACTGTTAGTGAAATGAGCTGATAAGTTGAGCACTGTTAGTGAAATGAGCTGATAAGTTGAGCACTGTTAGTGAAATGAGTTAGTTGAGCACTGTTAATGAAATGAGCTGATAAGTTGAGCACTGTTAGTGAAATGAGTTAATTAAATGCTGTTAGTGAAATGAGCTGATAAGTTGAGCACTGTTAGTGAAATGAGCTGATAAGTTGAGCACTGTTAGTGAAATGAGTTAGTTGAGCACTGTTAATGAAATGAGCTGATAAGTTGAGCACTGTTAGTGAAATGAGTTAATTAAATGCTGTTAGTGAAATGAGCTGATAAGTTGAGCACTGTTAATGAAATGAGCTGATAAGTTGAGCACTGTTAGTGAAATGAGCTGATAAGTTGAGCACTGTTAGTGAAATGAGTTAATTAAATGCTGTTAGTGAAATGAGTTAATTAAATGCTGTTAGTGAAATGAGTTAATTAAATGCTGTTAGTGAAATGAGTTAATTAAATGCTGTTAGTGAAATGAGTTAATTAAATGCTGTTAGTGAAATGAGTTAATTGAGTGCTGTTAGTGAAATGAGTTAATTAAATGCTGTAAGTGAAATGAGCTGTTAAATTTGATACTGTCAGTAAGAATGAGCTGATCAGTTGAGTACTGTCAGTAAGAATGAGCTGATCAGTTGAGTACTGTCAGTAAGAATGAGCTGATCAGTTGAGTACTGTCAGTAAGAATGAGCTGATCAGTTGAGTACTGTCAGTAAGAATGAGATTATTAGTTCAGTTCTGTTGTTAAGAATGAGAAATTAGTTCTGCGAGTATAAAATTAGCAGCAAAATGATGACAAATGTGATGGCTGTATTCAAGCTGATCTCTATACTTTCATCTTAACTGTCAACTGAGTTGTAAATATTCCTAAATTTTTAAGCCATGTACTGCAGCTATTTCTTTGTTTTCATGACCCTGGAAGTAATTGTTGTCCATATTGTTTTCTTCATCATTAGTTTTTATAGAGTAGCTTTCTGTTGTATTTGCATTTATCCCTGATACTTTAATTGGCTGCGTTTTCATTGAATTTGAACAGAAATGGTGACACATGAATGAGATAATACAGAGTAGCAAGAATAAGATCATGTTAAATTGGTGGGATGAGATCATGTTAAACAACAGGGATGAGATCGTGTTGCTAAGGGATTAGATGGTGTTGAATAACAAGGATTAGAATGTGTTGAATAGCAAGGATTAGATGGTAAAATAACAAGGATCCGATGGTGTTAAATAACAGGGATGAGATGGTGTTAAGTAAAAAGGATGAGATGGTGTTGAATAGCAGGGATGAGATTGTATTAAATAGCAGGGATGAGATCATGTTAAATAACAGGGATGAGATCATGTTGAATAGCAGGGATTAGATGGTGTTAAATAACAAGGATTAGAATGTGTTGAATAGCAAGGATTAGATGGTGTTAAGTAACAAGGATGAGATGGTGTTGAATAGCAGGGATGAAATATTTGTTAAATAGCAGGGATGAGATATGTTAAATAGCAGGGATGAGATTGTGTTAAATAGCAGGGATTAGATCGTGTAAATAGCAGGGATGACATATGTTAAATAGCAGGGATGAGATATGTTAAATAGCAGGGATGAGATCGTGTTAAATAGCAGGGATGAGATTGTGTTAAATAGCAGGGACAAGATCATGCTGAGTAGACTCAAAAAATATCCCAGGTCTCTAATCTGATTGAACCTGCAGATATTTATCAACATGGTAACATGGTTGATCAGGGTCATATAACTCTTTCAGAACCAGGGGGATATAATTTAACTCATTCTCCTAGAAAGTGTTTGGTAAAGGACACTTTTCTAAGCCCTTGGACTTATTGGGTATATAGTGCTAATATATACCATTTGGTACTCGGTGGGTAACGTTGCTGGTAGGGTTATCATGTTATTCAACAGATATATTTTTCTGTTTTTAACTCCCAGTAGGTTTATCATTTAACTGTTTGATGTCTGTCTATGTAGTTGCTGATGGTGGGGGAAAAGGGGGGGGGGGGCTCAGTTATACGTCTGTCTATATAATCAGAATTGGAGATAGTATTTTCTGTCATTGACCAGACATAGGTAAATCACAAGATCCATTTCACAGGGCGAGCTTCCTAGTGTGGCTTCTGGGACCCCATTGGGGGAGGAGGGCATTTATAGACACATTGCCCTATAACAAGCATTTAAAAAGTTGACTAATCAGGAGTTAACTGAAGTTGGATGTGCTAAGCCAAAAGCTACAAATATCGCAGCCTAGCTGTAACCACAGCACAATGTTGTAACCACCCTTTTAAGGAAAACAAGAAGAAGATAGCAAGCTGACTGAAGAAGTAAATTTGTTGGTCATGCCAGAAAAGTGGAAAAGTTCCTCTGTGTCTGCCATAGTCCTGCTGTTGCTGTTTAAGTAGCCGTTCATTTGCTATTACGTAGCCATTGTGTTGCTATTATGTTGTGAATTTTACTGCTTCAGAGATATGCCAGGGAAAATATTTTTGTTTTATCCCTCCATAGGTGGGTTCAGGGGCCCCAAATGGGGGGTGGGGAGGAGAATAGACCCACTGCCCCTTAAACAAGCCTTTGTAAAAGTCTACTAATTAGGAGTGCATCTGCCTGAGAGGTGGGGAACCCAGTCTGCATACAGGTAAGCTGAATCTATAAACGGATGTGCTCACAGAACTCAAGTTCTGGAACAAAAGCCAATCCAGAAGTGGACGAACACCCAGGTGTTTCTGCCGGTGAACGCTAAGACGACGACGATCTTCTTTCCCTTTACAGAGAACTGTATATTACCTACTGATTATTTTACTTGATGAGTATTCTCATGTGGATATTACACACTGCCAAAATGTCTAACGTTTGTTTTCTTCAGCATAACTGTTGTTGTGTTGCATTGCTGCTGTTAGTTTACCCATCATGGTGTCATAGATTTGACACCGCCCATAGTTTTGTTTTTGTTTTTTGTTTTGAAGGTTACAATAACATTAGTACTAAATTACTTAAGACCCACTGCCTTCCCAACAAGCATGTCATAAGAATCAACTGACTGTGAGGGAGATGGGCGCTTTCTTTGAAGTCGGAGTGTGCCTGAGAAGCAAGAAACTGACAACCTGCTTACAAATAAGTCAGATATGTAAAACAGTTGTGCACACAACACTTAGGTTCTAGAAAAGACTAAAATCAGGTGAACAGCCAGAACTTCCAGTTACAAATGGTGAATGTGAAGAAGATTAACTTAAAATTAATGTCATTGCACCTGGAACTCATCCATAAGTGAAGTCTATCAGTGCAGATTGTAAACACAGTGCCTACCTGACAAGTGTGTCGTAAAAGTCAACTAATGAGGATTACATCTGCCTGAGAGGAGAGCAACCAATAGTCTGCTTACAAAAACCAGATGTTTATAACAGATGTGCATGCCAAACTCAGGTTTAGGAACATGACAGGAGTGGACAAACAACCAGAACTTTCTGCTGGAGTTTACAGGTGGTGAGCGCGAAGAGGAACTGCTCCTGTGATCATGATACAGTGACACGTGTGCTTGTTTGAAGATTCTTTGTTGCATTTCATTAAACTTTCTTTCCTTGTCCAGCCTTTGAAGCTGTCTCTCACCTGGATCTAGTTTGGAGTGACCAGGACACCTTTTGACACTCAATGTTGTGTTTGCTTATGATTTTTATGAAACCACATTTTTATTTGAGTAAGTGTTTTCAACTACATCACACCATGCAAAACAAGTCAACATTTTGACTTCAACCACATCTCACTACACCCAACAAGCAGATATTTTACTTGAGTTGGTGTCATTAACCGCATCACACCAATAAACAAGCCAACATGTAAGTACAAAATGTGTTTATTAGTCACATACTTTAAAAAAAAAAATATGACATTGGCCAGTCAGTACTGGCAGAACACTAAAGTAGTAGATACCTGATCAAAAATTTTCAACTGTAAAGACACAGATCTGTTTTCCTATCAAAATGCGTGCATTAACCACATGGGCATTACAGTACAATATGTATCAACAAAAATTCCTGTTTTAAATTTTCTATTAAACTGACCTAGCGGCATCATAGTCACTGGTGACAAACTTCCAATCTATGGATGGATAGTTGGGTTAATAAATATTCTAATTTGTAGATGAGAGCTTGGATTAAATATTTCATTCCATGGATACCCAGTTAGGATAAATATGCTAACAAATCTGTCCATGAACAGCTAGGATTTAATCATTTGGTCTGTGGATGGACAGCTAGAACAGTGATCCCATCATGAGGATTGTCTGCTATTGTCGAAGTTATATCACTGCAAGATACCTCTTGACATTTCATGCATTTTGCTTTCCTGTATATTTTTTGTTTATTTGTCAATAACTGTTTTAATAATTTGTGTGTAGACTATTAAACAATTGTCACTTGTGCCAGTCTCTTTAAAACTGAATGTCAACTTACTAACTGCAGCTGTATACAAGAG